GTATTGCACTCTTACAGTAAGAAAGGCCCAAAGGATATTCCTATGCTGAACCACAGCCTGTGTGCAAAGATGTCAAAGTGTTCAAGGGTCAAATTGATCTTCAGTGACATGTAGCTGACCTGGCATTGTTGGCATTTGAAGACTTTGCAAAAAAAATGGGGGGGGGGAGTGTGGGGAAATGGCATACAATGTAAGAGTTAAGAAGCCTCACCTCAGTCTTATGTCTGAGTTTGTTGCCTCAGCAGCAGCATGCTTAAAAATAAAATCTGCTAGAATTCTTGGTTTCCAGATGTTCTTCTAATATCCTACACTCAGCCAGTTTAAAGCACAATGTAGATCCATCCTGAAGTGACCCTTTCGAACAATGAAGCAACCATAAAACACAAGTGAAACATTCACCCTAAAATTGGAACCAGATGTCAACCTAGCAGGTTTCAGAGACACTGTAGAAATCCCATATATATGTCCAGGATTTGTGGTAAAAGAGAGAGAAGGGAACCTATATAGAAATGCATTATCAAATTGTTAGACCCTTGAAATATAGCAAGAAATAAAATAAATTATATGTGTAAAATTCAATAAAATTCAATAATAGAATAATGAAATTGTGTAATGAGAGGAACCTATCATCTAGACTCAACAAAAAGGTAGAAACTTCTGCATTTAGGTACAAACTACATGTGATGCTCAGCTGTGTGCAGTTTGCCCCCAATTTTGGGGTGTTTAAGGCCTGTGACTTGAAGCCCTTAAAATCCTTTTTCTTTCTAAGGTTAATACATATCAACAGATGGACATTCCCTGTTTCAGAGTGGAATGTCCATGCATTTGAATACATAGAACCTCAGTGGTATATAAATTTGAAGGTAACATCCAAGATTGTGTAGGTAGACCTCTCTTCCCTCCAGCAGCCCTGTGTTACCCTGTGGCACCCACTAATTTATGCAGAATTATTTGAAAATGTATACAAATTCCTTCCAGTAGCACCTTAGAGACCAACTAAGTTTGTTATTGGTATGAGCTTTCGTGTTCATGCACACTTCTTCAGATGCCATGCACACGAAAGCTCATACCAATAACAAACTTAGTTGGTCTCTAAGGTGCTGCTGGAAGGATTTTTTTTATTTTGTTTCAACTACAGCTGACCAACACGGCTACCTACCTGTAACTTGAAAATGTATGACATGTTTGATGTAAAAAGTCATCTGGTTTGCCCCTGAAATGAATCTAAATAAACCCTAAAACCTGAAATATTGACTACAAACTTTAGAAAGTCTTTTGGTGTTTGTTTATGATGCTAAACTGCAGTTTATTTTAACCACAATGTGCATGAACTGCAGGTTGGGGCACACATCTCAAAACAATCTCAGTTCCCTTAGTCAGTGGGAGAACAAGCCACCAAGTGACTGGTTTAGAGCTTCATCTGAACCTGCACTTGTGATTCATCTCTTGACTTCAGATTGTGATTTATTTAGAGAGGAACAAACCACGAGCAATGGTTTGAACGTAATGCTAAACCAACCACTCTGTGGTTTGTTTCTCCACTTTGGAAAGAGTAAGGCCAAAAGCAGGAGAGCTTGAGGTGGTAATAACAAACCACACAGCTTTGCTTTTCATTAGATGACTAGTGTATATCTGTTTTCAGGAATGGGAGCCCTTGTCTTCCAAGCATTATCCCTGTATCCTAATATGTTTACCAGCCTTTATTGTGGTGATTACTCTGTATTTCACAAAAAAACAGCCCATGTATCAAACAAACTTAATAAATGGCTCATCACAGGGAAGTTGGTAGACTATTATATTCCCCCCCCCCCATGTTATGTTTAACCAGTGATAGCAGACTAAGGAAAACTGAGAGCGAGACATAGCCGTAAAGTAAGAATTCCAAAGTTAGAAGAGGTAATGTTTGAAGAAGGCATCATGTGAATTTCAGATGGAGGGGAATTACCTGCAGCTTTGGGGGATTTTTTTTTAATAAAGCCATGCTGTAAATATTAGGCTGCTCTGCTATGTAAGGTGTTCCATTAACATTCCAAGGGTCATAAAATAGCCATACAGCACAAAGGCAAGTTGTTTTAATAGTGTTTTGCTCCTGAGAGAGTATTTAATACCATAGTGACATATACAGAAATGGGGTACTGTTAAATATTTTACTAGATCTAGTTGTCAAAATGGAATGGTTCATTATTGTGAGAAAGGGAATTGCTTTCTTACCGTAAGAGGAACACAGCATTAAAATTAATTCTTTGTCAAATGATAGGAAAGAGTTATTGAGATAGGAGGGCTGAACCCAGCTGTTGAACTGTAATACTCAAAAAATGTGTCCCTTTGGCCAAGAGAAAATATCTGTTCATAATTAGCCGTCCTTCTGCCAGATCCATTGGCAGTGAAGAAATCCTGGTGGGTGCCTGGTAATGTGTATCTGCCTTCCAATGGCTGTTCTCTTGGAAAGGAGCAGAAAAATGAGGTCAGAAGTACTTACACTTAACACAGAGGGAAAACATCCATCTGATCGGGGTGTAGTTCCAATAGTTCTTGCAGCCTACAAGTTTGGTGAAGAATAGAAGGGTGGAAAGTATAGTTGTGTACTTTGTGTACCCCTAGACAGAAATACTACAGACATTTTCTTGGGAATAAGACATTTTGGAGTGAACTGGCATGGCATTATTTGTTTGGTCCTCAAGCTGGGATTGCATACGTTAAGTGTAACCTAGAGAAAGTCAAGACTATGGCCTGGTTTGCAGGAAGGAAACCACAGCTGCTTTGTTCTCCCACAAGCTGCTAACAAACACAAACCATGATTATAGCTTTTGGTTAGTCAGAAAGAGAGTAACATGGGTAAGGCTGGCTGCGGCTATCTCATACCTTACCAGACAGAAACTACCCCTTGAGTAATACTCTATTGCAAACAAAAGTACATTTCAATTTTTGATACGAAATTCTACAATGCAACTTTTGCCCGGATGAGTAAGGAAGAGAGCCTTAGTTGTAAAGAATTTCGAATTACTAGCCAGAACTGTTTCTTAACAACTTTGATGTTGCTTGTCTGCAGTCGTGCATCTACGCCTCCCCAAAGATGTTGTAAAATGCTGTTATTAGTCCCCCCACCCCACCCCACAAAAAATAAACCTCTGAAGCTAAGGGAGGCTAGTTTGTTTTTATGATCCCTAAGCATCTCTGATTTTGGGTTAACTAGCCTATTAAGTAAAGACAGGTTTCTGCAGGAAATCAGACAATGAATGGTTCAGTGGAATTAAGTTCTAGAATGAGATGACACTAGCTCTCTTGACTCCTGGTTTATCATTTTAATTCTGCACAGTTTCCAAACACACATACCTTTTAAAAAAAACAGTTTTACTGTATATGTTTCTTCATTCTGTTAAATTCTGCAGTTCATGATTATGCGAGTATTAGGAAGTGCAGCCACTCAATCTGTTTTGCTTTTAATTTGATTTGTTCAATATGTTTAGGCAGCTCTCAGATACTTGATATTTTCCTAATTTGCCAGTGGGGAGACCTAAGGCAGCAATGAAGTCTCAGTTAGTATCATTAACTTATAATGCTGTCATTCTGTGTAATTCTCTTGCTAATGCTAACCTTTGCCTCAAGTGAGAGGACACAACAGAGAACAATCTGTTGGTCTTCTGCCATAGATGATCATTTAATTGAATGCAGCTAAGAACCTATAGTTTAGTGCTTCCTTTCTTTCACTTCTAAGTTACTACTCAATGCATGTTTACTTGGAAGGACTTGGGCCCTAGTAAGAATGCTGAAGATTATAGCCTTAGCGGTGTCCAGTAATACATCTTCACAAAAGGAACTTGGCATTCCCAATTAATACGGGCGCTTACTTGATGCCCTTTTGAATGCAGTTCGTCAGACACCGACATTTTGTTCCTTTGGACCTGAGCTCCCTGATGTGGTCCCCGTGGGCACCATGGCGCCCTCAAACATGCCCCTTGGCACCTACTATGGCCTCCTGCCACTCCTCATTTTTAAAGATTTTTTTAAATAAAAAAACACACACAATTTATTTTTGTTTGGTTGAGAGTGTTTCCTGTTAGGGAAGGGTGGGTGTGACAGAGCATAGATGTTTGTTATTGTTTGCTGGGGGTGGTGATCCCGAACTTCATCAGTTTTTCTTCCATGAAACAGGTATTTTGTGGGGCCTATCACAGTTCGCTAGATTTTCAAATGTGCCCTTGAGCCCCAAAAAGCTGGAGACCCCTGCTTGGGATGCTTTGCCAATTCATGATTATTCCAGAAGTTGCTATAGTCCTCCTAGACTTTCTTGCTTTAGTGTTATTACCTCAACTATTGATGTTGCTTTTTTGCTGGTATTTGGTTTTTTTGTAATGCTATGTTGGATTTGCTTCTATGTGTTGTGTGAGTTATGTGAGCTGCTTTTAATTCACTACTTTGTGAAAAAATGGGATACAAGTTGTTAAATAATATAAATGGAATAACTTTTAAGTCTACTCAGTCTCGTATCAATTTATCTAGGAGACTTGGGTGACTAAGAGTATTTGGATTTAGTAATGAGATTAAAAAGCATTTATCACCTCTAGACTGCAACTTTAAATCCAATTCAGGCCAACAATACAGTATATTGAATGCTTACCTTCTTGTACACCCAGTTAATGGTCAGTGTAAATTAAATTAAAGTGTCAATCCCAGTTTTCCACAGGGGCTATATGTCTCCTAAGAGTCAAGGCTAATAGCAGTGGAAAGGAAAGAGAAATACTGGGTACTGACCTCTTGCTATTAAAACAAGCAAATGGTCCCTTTGGGGCAAAGCTGAAATGGAGCAGTGAGGAATGTGAGTTTATATATTGGCATACACGCATTCAGAATTTATTTATTTATGTATTTAATATATTGGTCACTTTTTCTTGCCAAAGGCAACCCAAAACAATTTACAACCAAGCAGTATCATACATAGGCTATAATGAATATGTGTGGTATGGGTCAGGTCACATTTTCTTGAATTTGTATTTCTGCAGGCAGGGGACAAGCATTACCATCCAAGCTGTGCACGATGCAGCAGATGCAATCAGATGTTCACAGAAGGAGAAGAAATGTACCTGCAAGGTAAGGACAAAACTATTTTTTAAGTTTGGGAGCTGCTTTGAGCATACGAAAAAGCAGAATCAAATTGATGTAAATAAATAAAATAAACCAAAGTGACTGACAAAGATCCACTTCTTTAGTAATTCGTATGTAACATTTCAGACCTCTATCTATGAACTATGTCTGCTGGAGAATCCCTCTGCCAGAAATATTTGGTGACCCCTCTCCCAGTTTTCATATTCTCCAAATCTTGACTACAGCTCTTGGGTAAGGAGGAGAGAGCTTAACCCTGATAACAGGTTCAGATAACATGCTAGACCAAACACTGGATGACATAAAGGGAACTGAGAAAGGAGCAAAGCAGTTGCAATCTCATCTCCAAGTGCTCACACTTTCACCCTAATTCACCATTTGGTTTAGCATTATGTACAAATGTGGCTGTTTTCAATTGGGTCATCTCTTATCTGTATGCTTGTTGACACTCGGAAAATGTTTGCAAATGAAAAAAAAAATGTTAGATGAGTATTTTTCAAGTTACTTAACAAGAAAAGCTGGTGAATAAAAATTAAGTTTATAATGAAAAAACTTAGTGCTTATTAGTTATCCCTGCTTAATGTATTAGTTAAGTAGGCTTCCTTCTCATGGAATGATTTGGTAAAATACTGTGTCTTTTCCTGCCTTTCATTTTCACAAGTAAAGGGGCTAAACACTTATTTAAAACAAAGAAAAAGAAATATATATATATAAAATTAAAACATCCAGTAGCACCTTAAAGGTAAAGGGACCCCTGACCATTAGGTCCAGTCGTGACCGACTTTGAGGTTGTGGCACTCATCTTGTTTTATTGGCTGATGGAGCCGGCGTACAGCTTCCGGGTCATGTGGCCAGCATGACTAAGCTGCTTCTGGCAAACCAGAGCAGCGCACAGAAATGCCGTTTACCTTCCCACCGGAGTGGTACCTATTTATCTACTTGCACTTTGATGTGCTTTCGAACTGCTAGGTTAGCAGGAGCAGGGACTGAACAATGGGAGCTCACCCCGTTGCGGGGATTCGAACTACCAACCTTCTGATCGGCAAGCCCAAGAGGCTCAGTGGTTTAGACCACAGTGCCACCCACGTCCCTTCAAATACTTTGGCATCTGAAGAAGTGTGCATGCACATGAAAGTTTATACCCAGAACAAACTTAGTTGGTCTCTAAGGTGCTAGTGGACTTTTTTATTTTTTTATTTATATTTCGACTGCGTCAGACCAACACAGCTACCTACCTGAAAGAAAAAGAAAGAAAGCTGAAAGTTCAAGGGAAGAATGAGAGGGTGGGATCCACCTAATAAGCTCCAGCAGACCAAGTCTTGCACAAGGACTTCCACTTGCACAATAGGGATTCCCTCTTGTCCTCACACTACACCCCCCCCCCTGGGTGAGGTCAGGAGAACACTCAGAACAGGGTGTGTGAGGAAAGGAGATGGAGGGTGGTTCCCACTGGAAAGCTGAAATGCTTGTGCAGATGAAATGATTGGAAGAGTTTGGCACTGAATCCCACCCAGAAACTACCTAAGGAAACTAGACTTATCCTCAGGCCTCCCTGTGACTGTGCCTTTCTTCAATAGCCTGTCTGCACTAGAGGCAGTAAATGTGGTTCCTGGGCTAATACGTGGCTTATTGTAGATTTTCTTGAAGAAGAAGATGTAGTCCAGAGCTACGTGACTGGGGAGTATGCTGGCAGGATAAAGCCCACATTGTGTTTCTTACCTTGGCTGCAAGTTTTGACTAGCTTTGCCTCTGAGCCAATATTCTCATGACATTGGAACCTTTTGGACATGAAAGGGGTGACTTTTCTTCCCCCTGGTCCCAAATATGTGTCCTCGTCCTGAAAATGTTTATAATGGAGTGTGCTGATAATAAATGCCATGTGATTATCATCCTTTATTACAGTGCCAAAGGTGGATCTTGTTGAATAAAGGTTCCCCATACTGTTTACTCTGACATTTACTTTGTAAACCTCCTGCTTTTGTTGGGAGAGGATTTCCTTTGCTTTATTGCTTGTACTGTAGCTAATAAAAAGCACAACTTTTGGGAATTTTCCCTTTTCTTTTTAGTGCCAGGCATGTTATTTTACTGCCATGGTCAAATGGGGTTTAAACTTAAGCTTTAGCTTGTCTGGGATTCTAGTTAATTTTGACATTGGCTTTTGTGAAGACAGGCATGGATTTTTTTTTTACTTTCCAAAAGAATTTTTAATGGTAAATGTAAGCACTCTTTACTGAGGGCTCCTCAGATGGTTTGTTTATTGGGCATTCACCAATCGGAAGCCTCACCTTGGTTTTCGAACCGTTTCGGGAGTCGAACGGACTCCTGGAACGGATTAAATTCGAGAACCAAGGTACCACTGTAGTGCTGTAGTGCCAGGGGCACTGTGAAATTGATTTTAATTCTTAGTGGAGATGGGAGAAAGTGACTTGGACAACCTGGGTGATAGGTTGTCCACAGCAGAAGCAGCTCTTGAGAATTCAGGGTATTAATATTACTTCAGTACTGTTTGCTGTTTGCATGCTTCCATGCTCCTTTAGGTACCCCATCAACTGTACATTTGTCAATAAAGAGACTATTACAGTACAACCATTAATACTTCATTACGTTGTTTTTCCTCCAAAAGGAAATTGACCCAGCAAACTGCCTTAAATCCTGCCTTGGAAGGGTGAAACGAAATACTTTCACTTCACTTTGTTTCTTCTGACCCGAATGCAACATGACTTGGCTTGTTTTCTCTCCACCCTCCAGGTTCTACAGTTTGGCACCCTGACTGTAAACAGTCCACAAAGGGTGAAGAAAAGCTAAGGGTAAGTTTTGTTGCTGTTGAAAAGGGTGTTTTAGCACACTTGGCAGCCTGCATTTGCAGGAGCAGATTCCACCCACCTTACCTAGAAGAAGTATAGGGTATTGTGGAATTAGCTTTCTGATTACTTAAGGCAGACCATCATGCGAGTGACCCACAGACCCTGTTTCCTGCACAGCAAGCAGATAGCCTGGCCTGCATCCAAACATTTTCTACTTCTGAGTGTCCTTTGCAATGGCACTCAGTCCTGCAAACACTTCCTAACAGGTTCTGGGCAGCATCCTAACAGCATTATCATATGTTGTCAAAACAACATTACTTTCCTGTGAGCCAAATGTTTGGTTTACAAAGAGAATCTTACCACCTCAAATAAATGATTTGGCTGTTCTTACATTCTTGAGAGGGTGGGACAAGGAGGGATGTGGTCAGCAGCAGGCACAAGAAAATAGGAAAAGAGACACAGCCTCAAATTGGTAATGGAAAATAATGTGACATTTAATAAAAGACTTGTTGTGTTATTGGAAAAGTTGTATTCTTGAGACCCTGAAGCTCTTCACTGCAATACTTTTGACATTCTATTAAATTTCATTTTTTTCATACTATTATATTTTTTCTACACGCTTGAATTCCTGCCATTTATGTGAAGTTGTCAGGGTGATTCATGTCACCATTACTGAAATTGTTTGGGTCGTTTAGTTGGATGCTGTATTTATTTATAGTCTAAATAGTAATTTGACAGTCCTGCTTGTTTACATTGTCTTATCTGTTGGCCTCACTTTCTCCTCCTCCTCTCTGTATATATTATGTGTGCTTATATACCTCCTGACATAGCTGACCACTTCATATATCTAGCAGAATGGGCACTAGCCCATAACATTATTGCTTAGCCTATAAGATACCATAAGGCTTGGGTTTTTTTCACTGCAGTAGACTAATGCAGCTTCACCATGTTTAGAATGAATGCTGTTGCTTGCAGCAATATATGGACATTTAAATATACACTGCCAAATAAAAAAACCTGATTTTGTAGGGCATGGGGGAGAATATTTTATTATGTTATAAAAAATAAATAGTGCCAGTAATTTCAAGGTTGTGACAGAAGCCACTAAGCATATTTCTGTATCATTGAGATCAATAAGATCAGGGTAACTGGAGGCAGGGATGTGGCAGATTCTCTGCTGCATGTCCAGTCCCTAGCTAGAGGTGGCCCCCAGCTTTTCCACCTGTTCTGTTGCACCCTCTACAGGCTGCCCAGTTCCTCAGGTAATGGATCCAGCAGTTCCATCGCCAGCCCTGCTCTATTCCTGAAGGGCCTTGTTTCAGGTCCTACGCTAACTACCACCAGTGGGACAACTGCAGCTGGTGGCACGTGGTCTACTGTGCATAGTGAGGGGCCTCCAGCAGCAGAACCCCTTCACCAGCAGAAACCAGTGGAGCAGCCTTTCTCAACCTGTGGGTCCCCAGATGTTGTTGAACTACAACTCCCATCACCCCTAGCTAGTAAGGCCAGAGCTCAGGGATGATGGGAGTTGTAGTCCAACAACATCTGGGGACCCACAGGTTGAGAACCGCTGCGTGGAGGATATTTTCACCAAATCCTAACCCCCATAATAGAATTGAATAGCTTGTGTCCTCTGCACTGGCTGAAATATTTGCCTGAATAACTACAGACAGATCAAGAGACTTTAATTGTGTTGCATCACCCACAACAACACCACTGCCGTTATGAGAATTCTCTCACTAATTCAGAATGACCTTTCAAAATCCATTGGGTTTATTCCCAGTTCCCAAGGAAACTGAAGATGTTCCCGCCAAGTATCTCATTTCTTTTTCTCTCTTATACGAGCAAGTGCTCTTTCCTTTGCTGAAGATGATTCAGCATGCCAAAGCATTCACACACCGAATGTGGAAGGTGGTAGTTATAGAAGGCACTTAATACTACACAGAGTGAAAATTGTATTTGCTTTCCCCCCTCCTGAAAGCCAAAATACACATTGTCAAAACTTGTTGTTGAAGCACCTTCATTAGGGCTGCCTTTTGTCTGCATTTGTACTTGGATTGCACCCTCCTTAACTGTGAGAGTTCTTACTGGTTAGGTTTTAGGTGGAATCCATAAAAACAATGATTGCTTAAGATCCATTTCCCTTTTGATTTCTTTCATAGAAGGTTACTGATGCCAAAATAAGCAGGAAAGAAAGCAACGCTTTAAGTGTAGAGGAAACAATTGTCATAACATTTCTCATCAGTGGAATTCAGTTCAATAAAAGGTATTGCATTCCCTTGCTTGAGCATTTTCTGTTGGACGACAAGACTTATAGACAAGTAATGTTCATGAGTCTTGACCTCCATGGAGAACATTCAAGGGAGAAAAGGCTGTGCCTTCTTTCTACTCTATGGATTGGTGAGAATTCAGTGATCTCCTGGAATAAAAATGGCTTCTGTCACATGCAGCTTTCAAGAGAGAGAAATCATCCAAACCAAGACATCTTTCAGCAAAAGGGACACTTTTTGACTCTTGCTTTGTACTCAGACTCCAGCTGGCAACCCATACCAACCCCACAACACAGTACTTGACATATTCCCTCCTCTTCTCCTTTACCTTTCATTTTGAAGGAGGAGATGTTAAAACAAGTACTACCACCTCTGTTTCCTGTTCTCCTCAAACTTCCTGGGCTAGGATTGAAGCAGGCATTCATATGCATGAAATATCCCAAGTCCCCACTTGCATTTATGAGGTCTAATGATATACCCAGACATTGTTGGTTTGTATCCTGGGAGCAGCATGGTCCTCTATATATATCCCACAGTTGGTATATATTTTTTCTCTCTAGGAGTTTCCCAAGACCAGCTTAACGGGGGTTTTCCCCATTCTCGTTAAATTAATTAATGTATATATGTAAAGGAACCAATGGTGTGGTTTCACGGGTGTGGTTTTGTTTCACAGGTAGCTGGGGTGTTGTATTTGTGACTGTGTGCCCAATTTGTCTGGCTTATACCCATCACAGTTACTTAGCTATTGCTGAAATGGTTGCTTATAATCAAGTCTCCTGTCTAAGGTTACATTCAGCAGTAGAAGCGCCAATCAGTCTTAGATTCTCAAAGCTTGCCAGATGTTTCCTGGGAAATTTAGAAAGCCATTTTGCAAGCAAACACTTTATTAGGTTCAAACATTGGGTACACCCTGAAACATTTAAAGATTATAAATGGCAAAGTGGTGGCTTTAAAAATAAGTTTGCTGTGCTGTTACAGATTTAAAGCATGCTCTTTGGAAGAACGTTTCTTGAGCAGTTTTACAAGTACAGTTTGTTGGCTTCTCTGGCAAAGGTTCTGAACTTCTTGCGCCCTTTAACAGCGATGTGAAAAACTGAAATGTAGCAGATTAAGTTTTTCCTGTCGCTACATCTTTAATGATAGGAAAGCTTTGCCTGCTGAATTTAACATGCAGCGATTAAAGGTATGTGTGCAGCTAAAGTGGTTGTGGGGAAACCTGGTTTATGTTTTTGAACAATGGATCATTGAAAACTTTAAACAGCCTCGCTGACTTTGCTGAACCTCACTTTACAAGTGAAGGGTAGTATCTCAGCTTTCTCTGGTCATGTGTGTTTAATTATTGGTGTTCATCCATCTCCTTCAGTATTCTTTCCTTTCTCCTGCTTCAGGTGGATCGGGTGTTCCTTTTTATATGTATGTGAGAATGAAAAGTGTCAGTAGGTTCAAAATTATTTCACCTGGCAAGAAAAGCATAAGAGCCAGGGAAAGCAGGTGGAAATGATGAGAAAGCATGATACATATGCTAAAGCTTCATTTCATTTTGGAAGTCTACCTTCAGCAGCATAGCCTATCAGGAATTGGTGGTTAAGACATAGCAAATTCTGTATCCTGTTGCACTCATGGGGACAATCTGGCCAGCACCCCTTCCAGCAGCCACAGATTTAGCATCTCTTTGCAGGTAGATTAATAGGGAGAAGTCATCTGTTGTGAGATTTGAATCCGAGTTTTTGTATTTTTATTTATTTTTAAAACCCAACATAATCAAGTATGATAGTTACTGGAAATGCAATATTGTTAACATGCAGAACTTATACACCTCCTGCAGTTTCAAGACTGATTGCAGCATCACTGAAGAAGAAAGTGCTTAAACCTTTTTAATGGGTAATTTATATGTTCAAAATGCTGTTCCCAGCATTTGAGAAAGCAGCATAGGCAAGGCAATTTAACTGCAAAAACACGCATTCCTAGCTCTCTCTTGAGTGTGCCAAAACCTGAATCTCCCTAAGAAATATGCTAGGAGGTTGCCTACTAGTTTGTTGGTGTCACATGTAGTTCAGCCATGAACTTCCACTAAAGCAGCAGAGCTGATGTTGCACACAGTGACCTCATTCACATGTAATGATTATCTATCAACCTTAGGCTTATGTGCACTCCCCTCCACTGTGGCCAGTGGAGGAGTTTGGAACTTTTTGCTTCCATTTTGATGAACCACAGCTTGATATGGTTGTCAGAACAAGGACAGACTGGTTAATCTTCACTATGATTTTCTGAACCAAGCCAACTTCAAACTATAGGTTTTTAATCCTGCTTGTTTCAACTGACTATAACTTAATAACAGTTAAGAGCTCAGAGGAAATGCTAAACTGTGGTTAATCTAAAATGGTCCTTGTAACTGTATTGTAGTGGAAGAGGGGAGTGCATGAGCTTTCTGCAACTGATTCTCATAATAGTAAACCATGACATTTGAAAACAGCCAGTGACAACTTATCTGAGAGGTGCCCTAAAATTTTAATTAAAATGAATATGATCCGCACTGCATCTTAATTTGTTTCCACAGAGCTATTGTTTTGAACTGTTTCTAGCAATGTTAAATGACTGTAGAATAACTTTGCAAACCAAAACCAAATTGTTCCCTTCTTCTCCAGCTGTTTTCACCACCTTGTATAATGAACTCCATCAAAAAACTAAGGCAGGTACTGTAAGCAGCGCTGGAACAGTGTCCTTATACCTTATAGTAGTGCATCCAGTTGGCTTGATGTTCAAGGGATTCTTCCAGTTATGGTGTACTTACCCCATACTTTTCCATAGAGCATGACTTGAACATCTGTAATGTAGAAATGGGCCACCATCACATCACTGTATCAGGATGATGTGGATGACTCAGGTGCTTTAAGAAGCTATCTGTCCATATTATGTGCAGTGCATGGCAAAACTAATGTTAAGGCAAAGCAGAAGCGCCTTTAATTAAGATGTAAACCCACCCAACTTAAATAACAAGGGAAATACATTTGGGGGGAGATTGTGGTTTTCATAGAGTATATGCTATAATCGACTTGCTGCAACCGTAGCAGCACATGGCACAATATGCCCTTCATGCAAAAGGAACATGAATATCCTTTTGCTTTGGGCTCATAGATTGATGCAAGAAGCAAACACAAAGCTATAACATATATTTAGAGAGGAACAATCATCATGAGCAGTGTTCAAGCTGTACTTTGATGATTAAACTCCCTGGGCCATTGGCATCTTTCATATACCAGTCTGTAAAACAAATGTATAGTGCTCCCCGCCTGTGGTTTATTGAATTGACAACATTAACTGGGGGGCGGGGGTTGAATATAAGTTATGCAGTACTTATCACACCTGAAATTAAGGCAGAATTTCAGCTTAGGTTGAGGTGTTAATTGGTGTTTTGACCTACATATTTCATTCTAAGAGGTTTCTTCTAAGTAATTTCCTTAATAAGTATTCATAGGGTTGTAGAGTTGAGAGACATAGTTGAGAAGACAGCCTGGCAGCAAATGTAGTCTTCATGTTCAAAGGCTGGGAAATAAGCCAAACAAAACAAACAATTGTTTTACAGCAATTGCAATGTATCCTCTTCAGGTGGAATAGCAGTCTTTGGGAGAAAGTGCAAAATCCTGATGGATTTCAGAGTATCTGGTAATTTGGAAACACTTGGGAAAACATTGTTTAAAAACCCATTCAGTAATAAAGAGCCACAGGGTTGAAGGAGAGGGTCTGAATAAGTATAATTGTTAAAACTAAGGAAATGGTCCTAAAATACAAGTTGTCTCTTCAAACGAAGAGTTGTAAATCTGTGCAGAGAGGTGGCAATTGTAGGATTAATGTAGAAAGCTGATAATTATAGAGAAGGAGGTTAAATGCAAAAGCCTGGCTGTTCAGAAATACGTCAGCTAAGTTTAAGGTTTTCACATGGATGCAAAATGATAACAGCCAAATGAGATCAAGTTGAGGGGTGCTGAATGGCAGAGCTACAGACAGTCATTTTGCTAAAGGTCAAAATAACAGAAAGCTGGTAAGGGACCAAAGTTGAATTGTGATAAACAGAGGGGTGGACCAAGGAAGAAAACAGTGGCCAAGTAGAAGAAAAGAAAAACAAGGCCACCGCTTTATTAGTATTTTTGAAATGTTTTGACCGTAATCATTCCACATGAAAGCTTAATAAAAAAGTACATACCAAATTTGGGTTTGTATAATGCACAAAACATGAGGCGCTAATGATGCTTCTCCACCCCCTTACAAGTATAAAATGGTGTTGCTGATATGTCTGCTTCTGAGCAGAAAGCCAGCACTGAGCTGTGGCCAGATTACTGAGTCTGAGGGTCATTCTGTTCTGCTTGGTGGTGGTATTTTCATAGAATTTTTAAAGCGTTGGAAGGGACCCTGAGGATCATCTAGTCCAACTGCCAGTGATGCAGGAATATACAACTGTCCCATACCTTGGCATTATCATCTCCCCATCTGTCATGCCACGACCTTGGCATTATCATGTACCCAACCTCAAGTTATGTTGTAAACCACTGTGATACATTTTTATGATACAGTGGTATATAACTTATAAATAAATGATAACAACTTTGCTAGCCCCACATTTAAATGCACCCCATTTTAAAGACAACAGCACACCTGTTTTGCTTACCAATTGTGAAACAGGTCGGTATGTCGTAGTGGTTGGAGTGTTGGATTGGGGCCTGGGAGACATGGGTTGAAATCCACACTCAGCCATGAAACTCACTGGGTGACCTTGGGCCAATTACTGTCTCTCAACCTAACTTAGCTCACAGGGCTCTTGTGAGGATAAAGTGGGAGAGCTATGTGCCCCACCTTGAGCTCACTGGAAGAAAGGGAAGATACAAATGTGATAAATAAAAAAGAAATAAAGAAGTGCTAGTATAAAGCTGGGAATTCCAACAGAAAGGCTGAAGGGTCTGTTACTGGAAATCTCTTTTAAAAGATAAGGAAATTCAACTAGCTTTGCTTTTTGTCTGCTCACTCTGGAAATATTTGTGATCTGGAGGGCGCACTGCGTTCTTCCGTCCAGGGTGCAATCTCTGTTCTTTGGCCGTGGTTCCTGGCTAGTGAGAGACAAGGACAAGTTCACCAAGAGTTTAATTAAAAGGCAGAAGTAAGCGAAGCACCACTGCATTCCCTTTTAATGATTTATTTTAGTCTTGAAAGGGCATGGAATTGTTTGCTGGGGGAGACAAAATGTCTTCATTGTTAAGACAACAGGGCTGATTCTTCTTAATCCTGATCAACCCCTGACTGTCCCATATTGTAGATGAGAATACGTATTCATTTACAGTAATGTGGAGAGACAGTATTGACATTTGGATCCAGGTTCAGATGAAAGGCTGTGTTGCCAAGGTATGGCAGTTGGCTTGGCAGTGGAGACATTCTCTCCCCATACCAATCACTGGCTTCTTTGCCCTCAGTGATGACATCAACTGCTTGCCAAATCCAATTGACTAAATGGCATTGTGAAGTTATTGTATTTCCCAAGTGGCCCTTGATTGGCTTGAATTGCTAGAGAAGAAAAAACCCAGCCAGAAAAATAAAAGGTACTGGAAGAGCAGCAGTACTGGGGAAAGAGGATGCAAACTGAATTGCTGCAAACATAGGTGAAACAGGCATTATTTGTGTGTTGGGATGGCAGCCCTGGAAAACCCTGCCCCCCAAATCAAGGGTAAAGATTTTGTAGCAGTCTAATTGAAATATCTCATTACCCTGACATGTCAAACTGCCCCCCACCCAAAAAAACCCCCCAAATATTTAAGGATGTTCTTAGTTTTGTATCTACGAAGCTCACAATTGCGTAGTTGGAGGGAAGTACTTAATTTCCTTTGAAGATAAATCCTCATTGCCATAGCAGTTTAGCTGGATGCTTTGCATTTCTTTATAATTCTATTCTTGCATGTTGATCTTTCATTTGGAGTAATTAACTTTTCATTTATTTGACATATTTTTGCAAAACTTAATGTATTGCTATGCTTTATTTTAATTTTGCTATGGTTGAATAGACACTCTCAATGTGTTTTCTGTTTGGTTGATTGGTTGGTTTTGCATGCTTGTAGCATATACATTTTATGAAATAAATAAATTAAATAAATTTAGCTTGACTAAGAAAAGGATCCGTACTGGCTGTTGCTCTTGAAAAGTGAAATAATATCACATTCACAATTATTTGTTGCTCAGTTAGACCACAATTACCTTTCCATTTTTATATTGCTTAAACTTGTTTTGCCATTAGAAGAGCTCAGGCTGTTGCCCTGTGCACATTTTATCCAGGAGGAAGCCTAGCTCCCAAAATACAACAAAACTTGCTTCCATGTAAACAGACTTAAGTTCAGGAAATTCATGAGTGGGCTTCAATTTGAATCTGCAGCTTCCTAGTTCATGGCATGTGATCTTAACCACAAATATACAATCTATGTGGTGTAAATAACAATTATCGTAGGAAAGAGGGATAAACAATGGCACTTGGAAGCTTTTAGGGGGAGGGAGGATGGATGGACACTAGCAGGAGATGTGGTAGAGCTACCCTCTATATAGCTTTTGGCCCTTTGAAGACTGTAGTATTGATTGACTGATGGATTGATTTTAATTTCTATACCAATTAGAACTATCTTTAAGTGGTGTGCAAAAAACCAAAAGCAACAATAGAAACAAAATATTACAAAAATACACAACTTACATATAAAAATGTTACAGTAATACAAAGTTACACACACACACACACACACACACACACTCATTTTCCTTCTGACACACCCTTCTTCCCAGCCTCCAGGTGCTGAGCCAGAGTCCAAACAAGCTCTCAGCTCAGCCACAAAAGTCTGAAAGGGGTTTATTTAAAAACCATAACACCAAATTACCATTATCTTGTAACTTTCCCAAAGTTGTATCAATGTGGGCTATTTCTTTTACATGTTGCAGCTGTCCACGTTGCTGCTATATCTGCAATGATTCCTCCTTAATATAAATGTTAAGTGATACACTGTTAGGGCACATATTCCATTAGCTACTCGGGTCCCAAGGTGTGTAAGATGTTGTAGTTAAAAAATTGGCAGCTTGAAATGAGCCTGGAAACACACTTCAGGTCACTGCAAGTGGGCAAGGACTAGCATTATGAGCCAGCTGAAATTTCTGAACCATCTTTAAGGCAGCCTCATTGCAATAATCTAAACAAGGTTACCAGATCATAGCTAGACCACTCAAACTTTTGAAACCATCATATCACTATAGTGGTGTTCATCTAAGACTGAGATGGGGAACCTGTGGCTCTCCAGAATTTGCTGAATTCTTAACTCCCATCAGTCCTAGCCAGTATTACCGGTGGTTATGGATGGTAGGAGTTGTAATCCAACAACATCTGAGGGGCCATAGGTTCCCCGTTCCTGATGTCAGGGATGTTAGGTGGAACGTGTGGTATTGCAGGCAGGTTCTGGACCCTAACCACAAATTTTAGCTGACTGTCAACACTTTCAAACAACAATATTCCCTACTATAGACAAGGATAGTATTCTGGTGGTTTGGTGTTTTATGCTGTTACCCTTGCTAGTTGTGTATGCCTAGAAAGCTCTTGCCTGTCAACAAAATGCAGAACCCCCCCCCCTTCACAAAAGAAACCCAGCCTGCTTCACAAGATCCGGATGAAAACATTATGGTTTTCATTGAAAAAATGTTGACATGGTCTTTTGAAAAACTACCTTTTCTGTGTTTCAAATAGGATATATAATGCAGCCACGCCTTTGCATCTTATTTCTTTGTTGCTGTTGTTGTTGTTACAGCCTACAAGAACATCTTTGGAAAGTATTTATTCCAGGCCTGGATCCAGTATACCTGGCTCACCAGGCCATTCAATCTATGTAAGTATAATTTTGTCTTACCTTCTTATTTATTAATGATACCTTATGGAGAAGTAGCAGCTGGGATTTGTCACCTGTGAGATGAGAAGTCCAGAGTTTTCACCAGGCAGGCTCGAAACCTCAGCCGGAAATGCATGCCTTTCAAAGCCTTTGAAATGTTACTTTCCGGATTATTGATCCAGTGGTAGGTATTGCCAACAATATGCTTTCAGTAAAAATTGAAACTGATAGATTCTATTCTATTCTTTATTGAGTGGCTGAGAAGAAACAAGGCTTGAAGACTTTCTTTACATGCATGGGATGTCACACCAAGCTTGTGTGCTGAAATATATAGCAGGAGTAGTTTTCCCCTCATAGAGCAACAATTCCCAGCGCTGCTAACAAGCTATGCTCCCCACAATTCTTTGTGGAGATTTTAAATATGTGTTGGATGTGCTTTAAATATACAGAATGGATAGCAAGTGACCCATGGATCTGTGATTTTCGGAAACAGCCCTGGCATATGCTATGGCAGATAGTAAAGTTGACAGAGGACTTCCTGTTCATATCAACTGGGGCACATGCCTAAATCGGGACTCTTTATGAACTGCTAGTTTCAAACTACAGAGCGCACTTTGGCGTGAAGCCAACATATTCAAATGGGTGGATTCAGAGCCTTCAGCAAATTTGGAAAAGTCAGCTCCTCATTACATTGCATAGCCTCTAATCTGCAGTTCTAGGGAACCTTTATATATTATTCTGATGCACAAGGGAATAATTAAAATGTCTTGTCTTAAACGCAGTAGCTTAAAAATGTTCAGACATGAATACTTGGGCTTCAATAAAAGTGGCTTTTAAAAGTTGCAGTTGCACAGACTCATTTCAGTTATGGCTAGAAATTATTCCAAAACAAGTTTGAGGAAGACATGGTAGCATGCACATCTCTTTGTAACATACTTTTAGCCACTAGCTTTCATAAGCCTGTGCAATGACAGAAAAAAGTCAAGTAATACAGACAAAAAGAATGAACATTATTTTTACTGATAGCTTCATGAATAGCAATATTCAGCAGTTACTCCCATTTATCCAGATATTTGATTCCCTCCCACCAAAATGTTTTGGATTATCCCAGCCGTTTAATCTCTTCCCCCTCTTCCACTTAAAATCAGACAAATTAACCATAAGAATTTGGCACTCTTCTCTCCATTCTATGGTGTTGTAACAATAGCCTCACAACCATATGAATGTTGTGTATGCAATAAACCCACTGTGTTCATTGGGGCTTAATCCCAGAAAAAAATATAGAGGGTTGCAGCCTAAAGCTGTAATTTTATTCCCACTTAGGACTTTTTGAGGCGGGTGCATTTTCAATAGCTGTCATTGATGCAATAATAGTGCATTAATCGTGAATTTATACTGTCCCTGTATCATTCTGCTTTATTAGTTGTTCTGTGATGCTTCCCCAGTGTTACTGAATTATTGCTGTGTGGAGCAGCACTTGTGAGCTATAGTGCAACAAAAACAGAGCAAGAAATAAACTGGAATATTTGTGGTATGAGAACTTGAGGGTTTCCAGAAGGAAGTTACAGGGCGTGCACTGATCAGAAGTGAAGTAGGCACAAACATCATGGAAAGCTGATTCATGAAGGCACAATAAAAAGGACATCTGGAAGGGCCCTTACCTGGGAATAAGCCCAACCAAACATAGCAGGATGTACTTCCTAGAAAGCAGACATAGAACTGTGCTATTAGGCTGCAATCCTAAACATACTTACTATGCATTAACTACTTCTGTATTCCAACTTCATGGAATGAGTGTTGGTCTTTATGCAGCCAAAATGGCACCACCCATGTACAAAGGAGGCAAACTCTCATCTCCTTCCCCAGTGCTAAAACAGTGCGTGCCTGAGTCACCCAGTCTACTGAAATAAAAACCTGTTGGAATCAGTGAGTGCTCAGCAGTCTTCCTGGCAAAGTTTGCTTGAAGGCGAATGCAGGAGGAGGAGAAGGAGGAAGAAAGAGATTAATGAAAAGGCATGAGAGTGTAGGGGGCTGGATCTGAGACAGCTTCAGGTGGAAGGTGTTGAGCAATAACACAAAGCAGAAACTGGGACTGGGTGTGTGTGAGGTGAATAAACCAAAGGGGGTAGGAGAAGATGCAGCTAGGTGTAGGAAGCAGGAGATAGGAGAAGATGGAGGAGGGGTGATGAAGTTGGGTGGGGAAAGAGGCAGACGGAGCGAGGGAAGAGACAGAAGTGGCAGACAACTGACAAAGGAGACTGGAGGGTGAAAGGGTAGGTGTGAAATGGGAGACACAGGAGGAAAGAGAGGCGGAATGACTCCTGGGGAAGGGAAGTGAGAGGAAGAAATGTGGGGGTTGTGTGGGGGACTAAACTCACCTAACAACCCACACAGCATTTCTTTGGAGGGCTCCGCTTGTTGTTGTACTCTTGTAATCAGGATGCATCCTAATGTGTCACAGTGTTTCGTATATTCTTAATCGGGAATAATCATAATCATACTTTTATTTATATCCCGCCCTCCTTGGCCGAAGTCGGGCTCAGGGCAGCTAACATTAGATATATAACATTAGTGTAAAATCAAACAATAATTAAACTACCTCCTAAAAACAGATCTTTTAAACAGAATATGGATTAAGTGAGTTTACTAACAATTATTTATGGAACATATATAAATTTGGCTTACATATAAATGGATATTTTAGTGTGCTGAAGTTATCAAGATGCACCATGTGGGAAGAAGGACCTGTAAATCCTGAAATGGGCCCGGTGTGCTTAAGAGATGCCCATTTCCATGAGGTTTTTATGGACAACTTGTGAGATGTCATCATTTTAACCATGTTTGCTGGGCAAAATGAGGACAGGCGTAAAGTAAATCCTATGGTTACACAGAGCTCACTGCCAAGGGAGATGCAGCAAAATCCAATTCATAGTTTGTTATAGATTCAATTTGTTTTCTTTCTTTCATTTGTACTTTTATTTAGGAAGAACATTTATTAGCCAATGTGGAGTCATTTTTAATTAAACTCTCAGAAACTGACTTTTACTGGTTTCTTCTGGGGGAAGGGGGATTGTTTTAGATTGCTTTATACTTCAATATTTTGCAAATAAATCATTTCATATATTTTAATTTTTTAATGCAGGTTTCTTTGAATTCTTGGGGATGAGTGGGATAGAAATGTGATTAAATGCAACAAATAAAAACCAACCACAACTTTTCTAACAGGATTTTGCCCCTGCTCTTCTCAACATCTCCTTGGCATAGACATTGGCAGGGCTTGGTTTATGTATGGCATGTTTTGCTGATAGGAATGCTATATCCAAAATAAGGGTGTTGCTGCCCAAAGGCTACCCACTGAGTTACTGGCAGAGCTGAATTTAGACTTCATAGCAGACTGGGACTGATGTATTGCCAAGTCTAGGCTTTAACGCAAAAAAATAAATAAATGTTCCACCCTTTTAAAAAAGATGCATAAAGCCAAAGGAAAAAAGTAGCTTCCGTGAAAAATAATAGACAGGCTATGAGGTTTTCTTTAAGCCTACGATAGAAGCAAAGTCCCTAAATAATGAACTGTATATTTAAAAAAAATCTTCAAGTTTGTGTGTTTAATTTATCTTCTGTCTTTGACCTTCAGGCAAAAGTAGACAATGAGATCCTTGATTATAAGGATTTAGCAGCCATTCCCAAAGTCAAGGCCATTTATGACATTGAGCGTCCAGACCTAATTACTTATGAGCCCTTCTACACTTCCGCCTACGAGGAGAGACAGGAGAGGCAGAGTCTTGGAGAGGTAATGAACTGGGGTTCACCCATTCTCTTATGTGCACTGTTTTTAAAAGCCAGCTTAGCTTCTGCCTGATGTATAAACTGGATGCTCCTCTTGCTGATCTGTGCAAACATTCCACATCTCTCTGGCCTTTAAAAAAAATGATGGCGTTCTTTGTTTTGCAGCATGAGGGCTTCTGCAACGAGAAAGCATATGGCTCCTCTTTGTTGCTTACCTTTTTAATTAACGCCTTTAGCTGCAAGGACCACATTTAGTTTACAGCCCCCTTTTCCTTGTAGAAGCATGGCAGTTATCAAATGCATGTATGAAGCAAGCACAGTGGTTCTATCTAATAGCATGTGATTTGAAACAGAAGGTGTACATCAGGAGTTCAGGAGCTTTTGTGGGACCAAAGGGGTACTAATTCAAAAGGAGTGGCACCCTTTTTTTACTTAAGGGTTGTATTCCAGGAGTGGATAAGTCAAGACCCAAAGAGTATGAGCTATGCTAAAACACACAGATCTACTGGCCCTGGAAACATAGGCATATATTTAATTTAGTAACCCCATTCAGGTTTGAGTTTCCAGGATAGCTTAGTTGGTTTACCATGAGACTCTTCATTTCAGAGTGATGGGTTCAAGCCCCACAATGGGCAAAAAATTCCTGCATTGCAGGCAGTTGGACTAGATGACCCTTGTGGTCTCTTCCAACTCTACAATTGTACGATTCCAGATTTTTGCCTTTGTTTTTTAAATACAGAGTATTTGCATGATGATGCAAAGTCAAAAAGAGCTCAGTAATCTCAGTTACAGATAGGTAGCCGTGTTGGTCTGCCATAGTCAAAACAAAAAAATTCCTTCCAGTAGCACCTTAAAGACCAACTAAGTTAGTTCTTGGTATGAGCTTTCGTGTGCATGCACACTTCTTCAGATCTGTGTATCTGAAGAAGTGTGCATGCACACGAAAGCTCATACCAAGAACTAACTTAGTTGGTCTTTAAGGTGCTACTGGAAGGAATTTTTTTGTTTTCAGTAATCTCAGTTGCCTATGGGATGCCATAAGCAGGACATGAACACAACAGCATTCCAGCAACTGGTATTTAGAGTCATAGCACTTCTGGCAGTGGAGACACAACATCACGGCTATTTTATGCTAATACTAGAAAGTGGAATAATACAATCGAGAAGGTACTTGACTAAGAGGGTTTTTTTCCCTTTCCCGGTTCTACCATGAGAAGAATTGGGTAGCCTTTGGCAAGTGACTTCTTCATCTACATCTTGTATTCACATGTTTCTTTTAAGCATTTTGTTTTTTCAGTGAAGCAGGACATGCCTCTAAATGTTAGCTTGTGCATTCTGCAGTATAAGTGAAATTCCATGTTGACCTTTAGGGTTTGCAGTAAAGGTTAGAGCCAGGTAAAAATGTAGGATCAGTGCTGTTGATCCTCACTTCTATTTAACTTTGTTTGCTTTATCATCATAAACCAAAGAGTTGGTATGCTATTTATTGGAGGAGCCTTTTATGGATCCTGTAATTTTTGTACACTATCTTTTTCTGTATATTTATATTACTTTTTTATTGTTTCCTGCTCTGAATTGAAATATTCAATAAAGATCAGATAATAACAAAAAATATGTATGTGTGTGTGAGTGAAAGGCAGAGATATACAGATGATGATGATGATGATGATGATGATGATGATGATGATTCAGCTTGATAAGCAAGCAGGGTCTGATCATGAGATCCAATCTGTCTAAATTCAGTAGCCATCTGAAGATAAGGAATTAGAGCTATGCTAGAATAGAGCAGTGTGTGTGTGTCATTGTCAGGCAGAGAACAGGTAGGAGAGGGAAGAAAGAACTCAGAAAGTTGTATAGCGTTAAGTGCTAAGGAACTGAGCTGTGAACCAGGAAGTCATGGTTAAAATTTGTCTCTTCCAAAAAAATCTCTAAGGCTGCAGTCCCATATGCATCTGCCTAAGAGTAAGACCCACTGAACACAAGGGGACTTATCTCTGATTAACAATCATAGGATTGTGCTGTATCTGGTCTTATGTAAGCCACTGTCTCTACTTTTCCTCAATGGAGAAAAACACAGTAATCAAAATCAGCACTAATTTGCCAGATACAGGAGAGAGAGAGAGAGAATAGTGTTTCCAAATGGAAACTACAATGACTTCAGAAGTGCACAGCAACATCCATATATTAGAATTAGAATTAGATCCAAAATGTTCACAAGTGCAAGACTTGCATGTCCTGTTCTTAAGAAACATTATCCTCAATAGCTTCTGCGCAGTGGAAAAAATAAAGGTCTATGTAAATACCTTTGGAGAGGGCAACTTTCCTTATGCATTTCCCTAAAAAGCAGCCTGGTAAATATTTGCAAAGCAAAATCAATAATGAAACATGATATCAAAGTGATGTTAGGTTTTATGTGTGGATAAAAAATATTTACACAGAAAATCTCTCCTCATTTAAGACTATTTATTCATGTGACTTGACAAGTCACTTTGGCTTTACTCCATTTCCCCCCGCCCCTGCATTAACTGCATTCTTTATTTCTGTGCTGTGATGAACAAGCCCCCCCGCCCCCACCCCCAATAATAGCTTGCAGACTGAAAATGTATGATCAGAAGTTCAGGATTCTAAACTGTAGGGAGAAAATGCTCAACGCGTGAAGGGTTGAGAGGAGCATTGTGACGTTGGGGGTGGAGCCAAATATACATTGCCCCTTCATACATATAACATGGGAAGGCAATTTAGGTGACAGTACTCAGAACATAGTGGGAATGTGCACACACAGTGCTGTACCCCTTGAAATCTGAAAAGTCAATTCAGTGGTGAACTATGGGCTTTAGAATTTCAGCGGCATCCTGTGTGACGCCAAAATTCACCCCCACCTCGCCTTCTGTTATTCACCATAGTTGCAGAATCCACTGCAACACCCTCTTGGCTCGGGGCCCAGAGGAGAACTGGTGCGCTCCCCTAAATCCTCCTCTGGTCAATTGTAGTTCTGCATGTAGCCTATGACAAAAGAGCAATATTTGGGTTGCACTAGTCCAACTCCCAATAGACTGCGATCTACTCACAGTATAAAAAAACTGGCAGTGATCTACCCAAAGTTGTGGAGCTTTTTTTAGGAAGCCAGAGTTGTGGAGCTTGAGTTTTTTTAGTAAGCCAGAGTTGTGGAGCTGTTTTTAGGAAGCCAAAGTTGGGGTGTTGGTTTTTTTTGCATTTTTGTAAGGAGATCGCTGAGGGGCCAGAGGTCAACTAGGATCTACCAGGACACCCCACGATCTACCAGTAGATCATGATCTACCTGTTGGAGATGCCTGCTGACTAGAGTATGGTCTGAAGCCAAGAAGGTCCAGTCAGTGTCTGAATTGGTGACTGGGAACCACACATTCATTTCCTTGGATTCCATTATGGAAGCAAGGTTCCCAAATGAACAAATAGCAGTCACTCTGGAAGCACCCTGCCTGTGTTCAACTTTCTCTGAAATGTGACAGCTGTTAGGATAGCTGCAACAGCAACAGATCAGCTACAAAACATGTTCTCTTCTAAGCTATGAAACTGCTTTGCCATCTTCTTTGTCTTTTTCCGTAATGTATGGAATAGAGACCAGAGGCATTATTGCTGCTAAGCTGACAGCTAGGCTAGCCAGGAATATTATTTGTGCACATAAGCATAACTAGTCAGAGCTTTTTTCAAGGATTGGATGCACTCACTTACCTCGTCCATTTCTTCCAAGCTACAGCTTGTGTCCTTTCTTTGTTTTGATTCTCTACCTGGTCTTTAACTCCGTAATGAGAGACTCACTCCTCTCCACACACACACCAGTTCTAGCACAAAAGTTAATTTGAACAACAACCCACAACTTAGCATTCAAATCCTTTAAAGCTCTATCTCTTGTAAAGTGTTTGATCACTGAATTTAATATTTCAGTCTTTGAACTACTACTGTCAGATCTTATTATGGAAAATGTTTTCACATAGTGCCACCTAGTGGAAACCAACCAGTTAATCTTCTTGTTCAGAAATGAACACAGAGGATCTGATTAGCCAATAAAGCAAAAAGTTATCAAAAAATAAATAATGCTGGTAGTGAAAGGTTGGTCTTTGATTGTAGTACATATGCTTTTAGTATAGTTCATACATGTTATGGTTGTATTCCTATTTGCAAACTCCCCACAGCTTCTCTTACACCTTTGTATCTGATGAATGAGGAAAGACAGAGGCTTCGGCTGCCTACTGCTTGTATGATTGCTGTGATGCATTTAATCATTGTTCATTTTCCTTCAGGAATGTTGTTTTGGTTGCATTTCTTTCTAAGGACCTCTAGCTATCTTCTGCTTCTGCCTTGCTTAATCCTTGCTTTTTATGGAGCAATGCCTTTTTGTATAATCTGATTGCTGATTGCATAGAATCACTTACCCAGCAATGGAACACAGAAAACATACTTAGTGTGTTTAATGTGTGTCATGATAGTAGATCCTGCTATGAAGCAATGTAAATAGTAACAGTAAATAGTTTTTGGCTTCTTTCTGGTATTAACTTGCATAGTAGTTGTTTTATGCTAATAGTAGCATGGATATCACATGACAAACATGGTCATTGGCTGGTTTTGAAACAGGAACATACTTAGGTGGATTAATAACTTAACAGTTCTCCTAGTTACTCCTTGAGACATCCTTTGGCTCCAGATCTACATTCTCTGGTCTGTTTTTAATGGTCAGGTGAGTTATACCAATCATGGAACTAGTTCTGTGGCTTCTTAGCTAGAGTTTTTCCTGGAGCTCCATTCCTTCAGAGTTTGTATAACATTATAACTGAGTATTTGTATCCATCATGAGCTAAAATCCTATTAGAGCTCTTTGGAATTCAGTCCTGCCTTGCTTCCCTTTAAAGTAATAATATCACCGTTATTGACGTCACAATGGATACGGAAAGTGTTGAAGCATCTGAGGCCAGTACCCCGATTTAGAATCATGCCTGTTACACAAACCAGTCCCATAGGCTTCACTTCATGGGTGCTGTTGCAAGGCACACACATATAATGCACTTTCTGTGCCTGTCCTTATTTTATGTATTTATTAAATCATAAATTTCACTCAGGGAAGCAAACATCAAAACAACAAAAACAATATTTTTTAAAAAAATTAAAGAACAGACAACTGTGCACAACTAAATAATGTTATGGTTTCTATGAACAATATATTTCAGCCATCAAATGCCTAGGTAAACAGGAATGTTTTAAAATGGCAATAAGAGTGCCTTTTATCAGTGGAATACCTACTACAGTGGATACACCTTGTAATAGTGCAACAGTATTACTTGGTTTTCTCAGGAAAATGTCTTCTAGCCCACAAAGTTGGAGGCTAGATATCTTTCTTTTTTCAATTTATTAGATTTATATTCCGCTCTTCCAAAGGAGCCCAGATACGCTGTCTTGGACATAACATACACTGGGTCTGTCTGAACAATCATATATTGGCTTAATAAATGGAGATATGAACAAGCCTCTTGGCTACACATGTGATCTCTTTGCTTTAACTATATTTTCCTGTTTCATTCAAATCTGGAAACTACGGTTAACAGTTTCAGAAAAAGACAGGGTGGATATTTAGCCAACATCAAACATCACTTAACATCTTGGCTTGTTCTGACACTGTTAACCATAGTATCCCAATACAGATGAAACAAGAAGCTATAGTTAATGGAAGACTTCTTGCTCATTTGTGCAAAAGACAGAGGACTCAGCTATACAGCTGCAAATAAAACGTTTTAAGAGCAATATACAATGTGACACTAGATGGCAATGGTGAATCTTACGGAAAAAATGTACAGTGGTACCTCGGGTTACATACGCTTCAGGTTACATATGCTTCAGGTTACAGACTCCTCTAACCCAGAAATAGTACCTTGGGTTAAGAACTTTGCTTCAGGATGAGAGCAGAAATCGCGCGGCAGCAGCAGGAGGCCCCATTAGCTAAAGTGGTGCTTCAGGTTAAGAACAGTTTCAGGTTAAGAACGGACCTCCGGAACGAATTAAGTACTTAACCCAAGGTACCACTGTATTTTTAAAAACACATTTTCAGAACGGTTTTTATATATGTATAGATTCCACCAGAACTGGCCAAGAGGCTTGTTACTATCTCAGTTTATTAGGCTGATATATGATAGTCTAAATGTGGCTTGAATTTTGCTGTAAAACCCTTCACCACTGTACAAACATAGAGAACTAAGACTCAGTAATCAAAACCCAGAAAAAATGGTTTTGTAGACTGCCAGCACTAGAAAAATGGACCAAATGATGTTTTAGGGTCAAGCCACAAACTATTAATTTACAACCTGAAATTCTATTTTCACTAGACTCCACCTGGGTATTTCCTTTTGCTACCCTGCTGCACCTGAGATTAGTAATTTCTAGGCTTTGCTCTGCATTATGTTCTGATAAAAACTTTTTAGAATTTATAAAAAAGAATGATGAACCCAAACTTTCCTTAACAGACTCAGAGTTCAAGATATGGCAGTTCTCCTGTGCACGATGAAAGTGTAAGTTGAAAGAAAAAGACAGTACAAACTCCACAGAGGTGACTTGGTGGTGTTATAACAACATGCAAAGCTAAAGTTGGCTTGAAAGGAAGTCAGTTTCTTTGATGCCTCACTTGCAGTCATTGAATTATCCTGTGTTTGTCCGTAAGGTTGAATAAGAGATTGTTGGACAAGTCCTGAATATGTTTGATTTCTACATCATGACACATTATTGGAATCTAGCACTTTTATTTCATGGCAGATTCACATGACCCAGCTGGCAAAAGATGATCTGGAATAGCATTGTGATTTCCGCATCGCTAGATGTACCAAGCCACTATGTAACCATTGAACAATGGCATAGTTAATATGGGGTTGGATCCAAAAAAGCTCTTCCATATATGAAGTCATCTTCAGTTCAGGGAAGGAATGTTTAATGCTAGAGCAAGCCTGTACAACTTGTGACCCACTGAGCTAAAACACAGCCAGTAAGCCATGATTTGCGACCTGCCCGATACTTGCAGTCCCTTCTTTTGCAATACCAGGCAGGTAGGGAACCAAAAGGTTTGTTGAGCCCCTCTTGGCTGGTGGACTGCATTCAGGCTGGTAGGTCACAAATTGTGCAGGCCTAAGTTAGAGCGCCGCATACAAAAAACGAAGCTAAACCCACATATGTTCGTCTGCTTGGCAAAAGGCTATAGCTTCTCCTAAGCAATAAAGAATGAGAACTGCTACCAAGGAGACCCACCTCTAACAGGATTTTCAGAAATCTTGCACAAGTGTTTGTGGTACAGAGCTTGTTGCTATTTTTCTTCTTGTCACAGTGCTTTTGGGTGCATCCTTTGGACTCTCTCTCCCTCTGTGTGTGTGATGCAGCAAGTATATGACAACTTATATAACAACCACAATCCCAGACCATCCAAGATATGCTCAAGAACCCATGTGGTACAATGGCTGAAGTGTTGGGCTTTGGTGTGGATTAAAATCCCTGTTCAGCTATGGAGAGTGTTATTGCTTAGCCTAGCATACATCATAAAAGGTGGCAACTGTGAGGTTAAAATTGGTTGTTTGAATAATGGTGGGATGCAAGCATACTACATATACAGATCCTACATCCTGGGCCTGAAAGGACATGATTCAGCATATGGCAATGCACCTTACAGAAGTTTGCTTTAACATGATAAGAAATCCTCAAATAGCAGATATCAGAGAAAGGATGGATAATTTTTCTACTTCTTTACATTACACAAAATTCTGTTCTTCCTGCATAACAGGTATGGAGAACCTTTGGCTCTCTACATGTTACTGAACTACAACCTCCATCATCACATCAGCTTGCTAGAGCTGATGTCACTTGTAGTTCAGCAACATTTGAAAGGCCAAAGGTTCCCACTTCTGCTGTAATAACCTCCCCCCCCCCCCGAGTTTTATCTGGACAAGGTTTACCAGATGCAGCCAACCTGCCTTCAGTGCCAAGGATCATTAAAAAAAATTGGCACCCCCCTGTAAAAGTCATCCGGAAATTTGAATGCTTGGTGTCATTCAAAACCCTGAGCCAATTAGATACTTAATACAGGGATCGCCATTGTGAAAGCTTTCTGTCCAACTATGGTAGCTGTCAAATTAATCACACTTGTGATTACCATCTTTGCAGGTAGAGGAGGAGTCATTTGTTATAGGTTGCTCTTTTAGAATATTTGATTAAATTAAGTGTATGTGGAGGTTGCTTGAAACTCAAGCAGTTTCCTAAATCTGGATATGAGTAGGCAATGCCATAGAATAATCTTTAGGAGTTTCCAATCAACTTTTTCATTGGAACAGTTTGGGGTCAGGTTACCTGAAAGACCACCTGACCCTGTATGAACCTGTAAGGTCATTTAGATCAGCACTACAGGATATCATAGAGTAGGTAAACTGAAAACAGGCATTTTCTGCTCTTTCCCCTGCACATTGACGTGCCCTTCTCTTTGCCCTACATGAAGCATCACAGCAATTTCCCTTGATTGTCTTGTTAAAGGCATACTTTCTTTTCGGCAAACTTCCCCTAATCCATCAACTCAGGCCCTGTACCGCTGAATTTCTGTTTCTATGGTGTAGTTTTATTGTTTTTACGCTGATTTGCATTGTTTGCACACAATGTTGAGGGTTTATTTGAATATTAAGTGTTTCAGAAATATTTTTAAATAAATAACACAACTGAAATGACAACTACTAATGGATTTGTGACACATTGGGAGTAATCCTCTATCTACAATTTCCTTTCTTCCATGTCTTGCAGTCTCCAAGGACACTCTCTCCAACTCCATCTGCAGAAGTAAGTTCAATGGAAGCTGTGCCCTGCATTGTACGATGGTGATGATAATAATATGACTACCAGTAAAACAGTAGTATTGCTTGTTGCGTGCTGCCTTCTTGTAAGCTGCCATTCTGTGACTATGCAGTCCACTGTGCTGAATGCAATTCAGCAGCAAAATGCACATGGCATTTATTTAGCTTATTGCCCTCAATGCAATCTCATCTCATCTCATAATGGCAGGCTCAGGTTTTGCTTTAAAAAAATCAAAAGACTCAGGGGCAGTATGGTTACATAACTGGGACACTGAAATTTCAGAGGTCAAAGGTGAAGAAGTGAGCAGGGAGCAGGATCAGTAACTGCTGTTAAGTAGTGGAAACAAACTGAATAGTTGGATCTGGTTAGCAATGCAATCATATATGCAGGGTTCCTTCTATATGACAGTTGGGAATGAATGGAACAGACTATTCAACATCCTTACCAGGTAATATATAGCAAATCTTGGAAGGGTTAAGGTGGGGTAAGGTGACTTCAGGAGCTCCATCTTCATTCTAGTATGAAGCCTCTGGAATTTTTGGTGCTTCCATGTTCAGTGTTTCAATGATAGACTTTTTGGACAGGCTAATATTTTTTAAATGGCTCCCAACTCTCTTGAGTGTCAGCTCCCATGTTATGAGGGAAATGCTTTTTTATAACATTTAGTTTGTCTCCAACTGTCAAGGAACTGAAGCTGTGAGTTACTCTGGAAAAACATTTTAGCAGTATCTTAACCATTATAACCCTGAATATTATAATATATATGTAAAATATTTTCTTACCTCAGGGATATCAGGATCTTCGGGATCGGATGATACACCGGTCTACCAGCCAGGGGTCCATTGGTTCTCCTGTGTACAGTCGTCACAGCTACACTCCCACAATGTCACGTTCACCACAACATTTTCACAGACCTGGTAAGGCCCAATGTAGGCAAGTGGCCAAGCCACAGAATCTTAGCTTCTTTATGTCATAGAATTGCATAGAAAAGGAATCTGACACTTTAGTATTACATGACTTCTTGCATACGGTTTGGTTCCCTCCCCCTTCCTTTGCATTTTTTGATATTTTTAATTAAGCTGCCTAGAATCTATGCCAATTAGAGAAAAGCACACAATTTCCTGCAATGTGTCTTGTTGTTAGGGGGAATGTTTGAGTCTTAGGGTAAAGCTATTACTATTGGGAAATTAAATTGGTTGCTTATCCTTTCTTTTATAAGTGGCAAGTAATGTTGAATATCATGCTATTGGGACCTTTTTAATGAGTCCTTGGTTTCAGACTGTGGAATACTCCTGATAATCAAACCTCGCAGTCCACATGACCTCTCTGCTTTGATGTTGAAATGGAAGGCCATCTTTAAAAACAGGAAAATTCTTTATTTAAAATCTTAGTGTGAAGACAGACATAAAAAAAGTTTTGAAAGTTAAATGCAAATTCCACAGCCCTCCCTTCCTTCCTTCCTTCCTTCCTTCCTGCCTGCCTGCCTGCCTGCCTGCCTGCCTGCTTTCACATCTGAAATGTCCACTGTACACACCAGTGAATCAAATGCTGGCTCAGTTGTTAAGCTTGCCTCCGCACTTATGTCTTCCTTTAAAAAAACAACATTTAATTTGTGCCTTCTTAATTATTTTAAAGAAAACTTAAGTTTATAAAACATAAATCTCTTCTGAGTGTTTGAGGCAGGAAGAGATTTCTTGGTGGCATCACAGGGGCCAGCCCTGTGAATAGCTAAATATAGCCTCAAACTGGCAGAATTGTTCTTTTCAGAGCTTTATCCTGCTGAGGAAAGCTAACTATCAACTGGTCACTGTGAATATCTTTGCAGGTTAGCACCCACAGCTCTTAAAATATTGTGCCTGCATTCACCCCTAGCTAGCCATTAAGGTCTACAAATTGAAAACCAGTTCATCTGTTAAAGTTGCATGCACAAAACAGTGAAATTTCTACTTCAGAGATTTGCATTAAGCTGTATTTTTCTTTGAAGTCTTGCCTTTAAAACGTATGTCCCTAAATAAACTGCTCATGGGTAGCATTGTGAGCAAAATCTGGACATTAAAATTGTTTAGCCTTACTCTGGAAATAATATGGAACCCCAAAACTAGGGTTTGGGATTCAGGTTAGGGAGAATTGCATAGCTACCTTATCCAAAAGCAGGTGAAGCAAATGTCTAGATGCATGTTTTTCACAAAGGAATTTATTAGTATCAAGTTTGAGTTCTTTCATATGATGATGGTAAGCTTAAAATGGTAAGCTTAAAATGTTGAAGAGGTTTTTCATTTAAAAGGCACAAATGAAATTTGGTTTATCATATAGCACTGACAAGATGATGATGAATTCTTCAAGATATACATGGTTGAGCCAACTGAATCTATTGGAATCTATGAAAAGGCTTCCCATTTCTGCTTCTTGTGATAATAGCTCCATATATGCTCCATATATGCAAATCCAGGCTTTCTTAAGAGTTTGACAGAGCACAATTGGCTAGTTGTTTTTATTTCTGTGGGAAATGATGATCCAAGATGGCATTGGCCTCATTCAGATATAATTCTCAACAATAATTAAGGACAAATGAATGAGCCACTCCTCTTTCCTTCTCTGGTATGGCCTCAAGGAAAAGATCAGAAGCTATCACTTCCATTTTTAACCACCTGCATTTTGGCATTAGGTGTACTTATCTGTCAGTATAATATAGTCAAAAGCAATAAAATATAGTTGTTAATCTCCAACTGATTCCATTTCAGGAAAGATCTATATGTGAATCTGTGAACATAATCTATGAACAGAATTTAGTATTTCAACACTTTTAATCCTGTAATTGTAACTAAGAATGGTACAGTGTTTCCTTTAAACCATGATTTAACTAACTTAAGAGTGTGAAATATGACAAGATGTAGGACATGCCATTTCCCAAAATCGTATTTGTGAGATTTATTAAGATTGAGACAATGATTCAGTTTGCTTTGCTGATATTTTGAATAGCTTTGTAACATTGTGTATTTAAATAAATGCAGGAAATAAAATGGTTTCTGAGAGCAGTTCAAATTACTGGGGAAACAACCAGTATTATATTTTGAAATGACTGGGAATTCCCCCCCCCCAAAGTTGGACAAGGAACACAGTTATTCACACAATAGCAGATATTTGCAGATTTCTTGTAACCCCAGATCTTAAAATTTCCAGAATGATTTTGGAAGTGACCTAAAGGTACTTTTTGAAAATTCCCTCATTGATAAACCACATGAAAGACCACATTGATTAGAATATATATTCTATTCAAAAATGGCTCTCTTCCAGTATCTATATTATATTAAAAACTTTCATCATAAGGCCCCAAGGTGTTTCTGGTGTTCTTAGTGGAATGACTAAACTCTTCTTCCAGAATTTCTTAAAACAATTTTAAAAGGACTTTGTACTCCTGTTTTGGCATTGTTTGGTCAGGTTGTTACCCAGACAGCTGCTGCTTCTGAAACTCATTTGGGCTCAGGGTGTCTGATGCATGAATAATAGTTATTTTTTGCTATATAGAGAGGGTACTAATTTAAGCCTGGACTAAGGAAGTATCCAGTGGCAATCTTGAGTTTTCACCTTCTTCCTATGACTTTTCCTAATATTTGTGTAATCTTATTTCTTCCTAGTTTGTTTAGTGCTTTTCTCCCTCTGTTCTCTCCCCGCCTCCAGCCACTGGCCCTGCTTCTGTCTTATTTTGTGTTCTCTTTTCTTTGTTTCCATTTTGTCTTGCCTCACGATTTCTTGCCGCTGCAGAGCTGCAGTCTAACGGTGTGCAGCGGTTAGCCCACCTGCGCACTAGCAGTCCCATCTCCACCCACAATGACTCCCGCCCCTACTCCCCTTTCCGACACCACTTCATTCCCCATGTCAAAGGTAAGGAGACAGGCCATTCAAGCTAGTGTCAGACAGACTGGAGATTTATTAGCATTCAAGGAAAGCTAATAAGGCACATCTCCATCAAGTGGCTATCAGCTGTGTGACTCCTGGCATGCCTCAGACCTGCGTCATAATGACTGTGTTAGACCTGACATACCTTCTCCATCTTCGAGGAAGTATGTCCTTTCTAAGGGTATCCTTAGGTGAAGTGCTCCATTTCTTATGTTTTAGGAAAGTGTGGCTCTTTGAACAGCAAGGTGACAGAATTTTGCTGCCTTGGAAACGTAACTCTGGAATTGCCATAACTCTGAATCTCACTCTTCAAACACATTGGCATGTCCTACATTTTCTGTAAGGTCTCCAGTAGCACCTGTCCCCATGCTTCAACTTCCAACACAAATAACGCCATGTCTGTGGAGCTTCGCACAGAGACATTTTTCACTTACAATGCCTTCTAACATAGGCTTCTTCCCTCAAATCTAAGGCCAGATTTTACCAGCTCCTACACTGGCAAACCCCAGCGTTGAACTTATAGCGTATCTACACTGATTGGCAGTGGCTTTCTACAGTTTCAGACAGGAAGCTTACCTAACCCTACCTGGAAATGCCAGCAATTGATACTGGGAGTTATTGCAAGCAAAGCATGTGCCTCTACCACTGGGCAAACCACCATGAGAGGGTGCATTCATATAACATTTTTATTGTCTGGAGTGACATGGTACAATCACTACTTATAGTCAAAAGCTAAGATTCATCTCTCTTAAAAACTATCTTCATAGTTTAGCTTGCTTTTCATACTGTCACACTATTTAACTCTTAAAATTCCCTACCTGTTCCAGGTAGCTTGCTCCATCTTCCTGCCAGTATATTGATCCTCCATGATGACCATCCTACCACTTTGTATACAAAAAAAGTATCAGGTGTTATAACGATTGTAATACAACAAAACCAAAACACCAAAACACCAGACCGGCTTGCAAATATAAAGGACAATTTTACTTAGTTCAACAAATTATGTGCATATCAAAGCCTGGAGATACTTATAGACATACAGTCAACTAGTGGCACATCTCTGCCAATAATGTATATAGTAATAGTGTCATAGCACAGCTGAAACAAGCGAATCATTCTACAGTTAATTATCTACTGAAAGCGCAAAGTCCTGTAAGTGGGAATGGCTGCAAGAAAGGGTTCTTCACATGGCCATATGTAGATCTCCAGGCTTTGATATGCACGTTGCGCTTTAATTTGTTGAACTAAGTAAAATTGTCCTTTATATTTGCAAGCCGGTTTGGTGTTTTGGTTTTGTTGTATCCTGCCACTTTGTCTACCCATTTCCCTCCCGGTATCCATCCCTCCTTGTTCCCAATGTGCCCTATATAATTTTCAACTCCTCCTGAATCACTCACTCAGGAGCTGATGTGAGCAGCAGTAGATTAGGTGAATTGCTAAAAGCCAGGAAGATTTATGCTCAAGTTATACTACATATTTCAGTGTCCTGAACTGAAGTGATATGGATGTTAAATAGATTGCATGGTTTCCATGGGCCATTATCGGAAATGATAATAGTTCTTAACTTCCTCCTCTCTCCAGTAATAAGAGACACTTTACAACCTTTTTGTTCCAGTTTGTTTTAATCCTCACCATAGCAAAACTCACTTCATCCTTTACACATGGGGTCCCTTAAAAACAGAGGCACAGTTCATGTTTGCATGTACTTGATCCATAAACTCCAGTTCAACATTTCCATGCTGCAGACCTACTGTAACATCCTCCTCCTTTCTCAAGGCATTCCCATTCTCTCTCATAACACGGTAGAGCTAGTGGCTCCTTTACATTTCACATGGCAAACCTTCACTGAGGTTTAGCTCATAGTTACCAGTTTCTGAAATAAAGATTTTCATGTGTAACTCAAATTTGTGTCCTGCTTTGTCCATTCGAATGACAAAATCGGGAAAAACAGAAGGGCAATTAATTGTATCTTGTACAATAAAGATATGGGATATACTTCCATGCGAAAGTGCCAGCATGACTATGTGTGCATGTGCCTAGGGGTGATGTTTTGATATCTGCAGTCCACACTCAGCAATAGCTTAAGGCCATGCTGGGCTTCCCCACTTCTGCACAAAGTTAATGGTGCCAATTATGGAACCAGCACAGACTCTGCTGTGTGCTCAGATGCCTTCACAATGTTCATACAGCATCTCCCAGGAAGAAAGGTGCTTCTCTTTCTAGGAGTTCTTCCCACGTACTTGTGATGCCAAACTGTGATATGAGAGTACAGGAAGCTACCATCCAGATGTGTGCTAAGGTGATTTGTGCTAGATTCTCAGCCATTTTAAATTGCAATTGGCAATATTGAATAAATCAGTAATTAAATGGACCTAAGGTAATGATTGATTGTATATTAATCTGATTGTGACTTTCTGGAGGGGAGAGTTCATCTTCTTTGAAAGTTTTGGCTTTGAAGCGTTTAGAAACTGCATGTTTCAAGTAGGGTAGATAGGTAAAAAACCCCTGCAGGAATGTATTTTGCTTTCATGGGGTTTGGATCACATACATTATATCAATCTCCCTTAAGATGACCCAGCAAGGTTGGTTAGTAATAAAACTTATTTGTTTTATTGTTTATTAAGTTTGTATATTCCCTTCATTTGAAGATCTCATGAAAACATAAAATGCATAATAAAAACAAGAACAAAACTAAGCAATAACCCCCTCTCCACCCCATCTCCCAAAATTGCCACTGCATTATAGGTATAGGGAGTTTCACAAGTAGGATGCGGAGAGAATTCAAATCCTTATATAACAACTGATTGTCAGTCACATGGGGGGGGGACCAGATGTGAGAAGGAAAAGCAGTAGACAGGAGCATGTGAGAGGGGAAGGGTTAAGATTTCCCTCTACAGCTGCAGTCTTAGTTATTACCTCTCCCCACATGCACCAGTTGACAATTTCTCTTAAAAATTATTGATAAGCTTATCTGCTGGATTGAGAACCAAAAAGTAGCACTGTGCTTCCCATGACTGCTTTCTGCACTCCCCCACCCTTTAATTACTTGTGCTTACATAGCCATATGTTTTTTCTCCTTCTTTTAGTTGAAAAATACCACCATGGTTCTCATGAACGCATTCAGCTCTATTCTCCCATTTGTTTTATCCTCATTTCTGTACATGATTTTTTCCTTTTCTTTTCTCAGATGCGGCTCCATTCTACATAGGTATGCCATGTCTCAGCTCTCTTGTAACACCCCTCTCCAATACCCAGAGGGACTTTGTGTTGTTGTTCTTACCCATGTTCACTCCCTCTTTGCTGATGCTTCCTTCCTTCCAAGTGTCATTCTAACAGATACATTTTACTGCTTTAGCTAACAACATGTTAGGCACAATTCAGCTGCTCATATTGGCCTCTATTCACAGATGTGTAAATCTGTGGCTCAGTCTGTAGCACAGGGCTGTTTGACCAGAATATCAAGGGTCCTTTGTTCTTTCCATTTAACTTAATGCTTGTCAGTAGAGATTACTGTCACCCTTCAGCTTTCTGTAAATAGCATTTCAATGCAAATTTACTAGAGAGCCAAACAGAGCTTAATAAAAAAAGTGTGATGAAAAGCTGATAACCAATTCCTCTTTTAAAAAAAGTTTAATGTACATGTTTGTAGGATATTTCTAGCAGATTGAGAACCACATGATGGTGCATCCCAATTTTGAACTGTAAAATGTTGCCTTGAACAAACAAAGTTAGCATAGCATAAAAGCCACAAGGAGGCCACTTGAAGCCACATAGCAGCCACTCCATGAGGACTGGTTTCCATTGGCTGTTTTCTCTCCTCACCACTGCCACACATGCATGATGTATAGAAGAGCTGCCATGCAGAGACAGTTTCAAGTTGTTTGACTTGCTTTCACGTATGCACAATTAATTTCCCTCCAGCTCCTGAGAGCAAATAAAGAGATTACCATAACCCACTGTAAATACACCACATCTATTGATTTAATGTTTATTTTCTAATAAATACATATTCTAGAGAAAATATATGTCTCTCTCCAAGCAGTCATTCACATTTTTTTAGCACTGATACTAACTGATCGCTAGTGTCTTTGAAAAGCCACATGTATGAGGATAGACATAAACTAAGTTCTTACTGATCCTGAGCTTTTGGGATGAGTTGAGTAATCTATGAACTGAATGAATTGGATTCCCTCCCTTCAGTATATTGATAACCCACCCCCAGGTTTTTAAAGGAACAGTTTGCACATCAGAAAACTGTATCAGAGAGTGCCACTCAATAGCAGACACAGGCCCTTTCCAGGGAGGCTCACCTGATGTTGACTCTATTACCTTATGGTGCCACTTGTAGACTGTTTTAGTTGCCTAGGCATTTTAGATATAATTTGAAGAATGGTTTTAATCTTGCTTAGCTCTTTTTAATCTACTTTTAATATTGGCTTCCGCTGTTACACTGGTTTTATAATTGCTGTATTTGTTTTAGTTGACTGTTTCTAATCCTCTTCATTTGTGAGCTTCTCTGCAGACCCTTTGGGTTGAAGAGCAGGCTAACAACATAGGACATATACATGGGATAAAGTGATTCAGAGTCCCGTTGACATAGTTCAAGCTTGAAAAGCTTGGACAGGTTTTATACGCTGTCCCTTCCATGCAAGCATAAAACACCTATGTGTGCAGCTGTATTGCACACAATTTGAGTTTATACGACAATGCATTGGTCTCCCTGTTGATTAGAAGGAATCTCCAGTCCAAACTTTCAGTCACTCACTTAATCACTATGTATCACTGGCTGTGCAGCTGGCATTGAAGGGAAAACATACTTTGACTGCTTCTGTTCATGAATGAAAATGTGGGAAAGTGTCAATAGAACAGCTCCCCATGTGCCCCCTCCCCGCCCTCTAGCAGTTGTTGGATTACAACTCCTGTCATCCCTGACAATTGGCCATGCTGCCCTGGACTCACAGATAGGCCCATGTGGAGGGGAAGGCAGCCAGGTACATTTTTTCTGGACCTTTAGAGTGCTAAGCTGGCTAGGAGAGCCTGTCAGGGGCCTGCTGGACTTGCGCTGTTTGAGTTTATAACTTTATTCTAACAAGACTCCAGCCCCTGGCCCCAGACAAGTTCTGTATGGACCTGCTGACAGGAGTTAGAGTTCAGCCTCATTGCGAGGGCCATAGGCTCATCATACCTACCATAAGATAATTTCCTGGAGATGAGATGAAAAACAAGACCCTAGAGAGAAAGGAGTGCAGTTATTTATGCTGGTTTGATCAATCAAAGAAAGAGCAAACCAGAATAATTAATCTGAAGCTTTTCTCCTTCTCGTACATGTATGATCATTTGAAATAAATGATTCTCTTCTAAGGGTGCAGATAATTTGACTTGGGGTTTGCCTAGCAATGACTTTGCCAAATGCCATGACTCTTCAACTGAAAGTGTGAACCCTGGCTGATATTAAATCATTACCACGTAACTTCCCATTCCGCTCCACGACTTGTCCATTTAATTTGACTGCATTCTTCCTCACGCATGCTGTTGGAATGTACAAATGAGAGGATGCAAGTTGCCTGATTTCCAGCCTGATGTGAATGTCTCTCTTAGCACAGACTAGCAGTGCCTTCTAACGCTAGCCATATTTCCTGACTACCAACTATATATATTTTTTGTTTGTTTCCTCCCTGGTTTTCCTTTTCCACCGTCTTTTGGTTGGGTTTTTGAATTATGCCTGCTTCTTTACTGCTGTTTTTGTTTTTGTTTCTGTTTCCCCATTCTCCTCATTGGAGGCAATGAGCCGTCCAGCGGTCGGAACTCCCCTGCCCCTTACCGGCCAGACAGCCGCCCTCTAACACCAACTTACGCTCAGGCCCCTAAACATTTCCATGTTCCAGGTAGGAGCTGGCAATGTATGTCTTGGTGTCCTGTCATAGTGTAGACCAGTAGCCTTTGTAACCCTTGTCTTGTCTCCATTATCTCATGCTGTTTAGTTCGTTTGTTTTTTGGAGTATACCATGAACTGCTTTGAAATGCAGGGCTTGTTGGTTTTATTTTGAGAGGAATTAGAAAAAGCTGGCTGCAGAAAGATTTAAGCATTGAAATTAAATCTTTCTCTTAAGAGATTTTGGAATAGGGAGGATACAATGTAGTTTGGTAAGAGCACCGTGTACATGGCCCAAGCCACTTCTTGGTAGCACCAAACACATCTTACCTGTTAGTTTCTGTTTTTCATGACTTTAAGAGGCAAGATTCAGGTTACAATCCTAAACAAAAATACTAATGGAACTCAATGGGACCTGAGCAACCATACTTAGAATTGCACTGTCAGACACTTTGCATTTTTTGTGGCACAATGACTGTGCTTTCTGTTAAGAATAATATTGCTTAAACAGACTCATTGCATCTAGTTGTTATTGTGGCGCCCTCTGGTAGGCTTCATTTGGGGCCTTAAATCTGTAGATTCCTGTGTGAAGTAGTTCTCCTTGATGCAAATCATTAATTTAACATTAAAGCTTCACATTATTTACTTTGCTTCTGTACACTTTTTACTGCTTGAGAAGGAGCCAGTGATACTGCTAGAAGTTCAGTCTTGTGTATATTACACTCTGCTTTTGTAGGATTGTCTGCTGCGAATGCTGCAGATAACCTGGTAGCCATTTTCTAGCAATGGCTGTGGCTTAATGTTTCTTGAGCAGTCTCAGTGAGCAATGGATATGTCATTATTTCAGTATTAAGCAAAACATTGAGTTGGGGTTAGTTTGTATCAAAGAACTCTTGTTCCAATGTATTTTGAGAAGATAAAGAATTATGGCCCCACTCTCTTCCGTGTCAATTAGAGTTGTTTCTCTGGAAGTAATAGAGACGTGCCTGTCTGGCTGAAAATTTTGGCCACACACTTAGGAGTTACTGCTGCTGATATAACATCTGCCTTCATGGTCATGGATCTCCAAGACATTCTTAAGAGATTACACACATATTGTAACTGCTTAACATACAGAGAAGGTATAGTGGAGGGTGGGGAATGTGGAGCTGAACCAACAGCATAACCCTTTTTATGGTTTAGAGTTGGACCATTACTGATATATTCTAGCCATTAATTAGCTGCTACACATCTAAGAGGGATAGCCTGCATTAAACATATCTTGCCACTACGAGGCTGCAATCCCACTGAACACAGTGGCACTACTGAGTAAACATGCATAGGATCAGGCTACAATATAGCATTTCGTTTTCTTTGTCTACTGATTTACCTTAGATAAGTCTTTTTTTAAAAAAAAACACCAACCCAAAGAACATGGCTTTTGGGTTATTTATTTTTGACTCTACCTCAAGCTTTCTAAGAATCCTCTCTCCATTTTGTTTGTGTTGTCATATTAATTTTCAGTGTCTGTGCATTTTATATTTAAGAGGAAAATGAACTTTTCCTTGAGAGTATATCCAAGCATGTATTTAAAAAGAAAAAAGAAAACATTCTGTACTATTTAAGTCATTGCTAGAGAAATACTGTATTAAGTCCAGGCTCTATGCCATAAAATGCTTCTGAATATGAACATATGTGATTGGTGGTGTGAGTTGGTTGTACCACCAAACCAATAAGTGTGGTAAGAAACATTGCAGAGGCTCAATAGAATCACGGAGAATATGGCTGCATTTCAAAACGGCAGATTTACACTGCAATCCTTCACACATCTACCTGAAAGCAAGTCCCACTGTTCTCAATGAGACTTACTTATGAGTAGGCATACATAGGATTGCACTGAATGAAACATGTTCTGAAGCCTTGACTGTAAATGTACATCATTGCTATTTGTGATGTCTGTGGTTGGAGGAGAAATTGAGCTGCTGTTGCACAATTTCCCAGTAGTCATTTGGGGGCTATTTTCCGCCAGAATGCTCCTGTCTCCACCCCTGGCATATCTCTTTTGGTTGCACCTCCTGTGAAATGTTTATCCCACTAACAATCTACTAAGACATTAAACTGAATGGCCCATGCCTTTAGGTACATCACCATGTTGCCAACTCTATATGTCAAAGATTTCATGTCATCTGTCTGTGATATTTTCCCATCTGTTTTTGTGTTTTGTTTTCATCAGATACTTCTCTCTTTTATGTGATACTGAAATTAGTTTCCTGGATACTTGTGCCAAGTCCTCGGTTTGGAATACCTGTCAATTTAGTGTTGGATTTCTTCCCTCTTTCCCAGCATTAATTGAAGATGTCCAAATAGTCTCATGTTTCTGCTTTTTATTTTTACAGATCAAGGCATCAATATTTATAGAAAACCTCCTATCTACAAACAGCATGGTAAACCTTATTCTTTCTGTTTTCAAAGTGGGACAATCTTAATATATTAAATAGCTGCATGACTGAATTGTTGACTTATTTTGTCTTCGTGTTAACTTTTTGTAACATTAGCAGATTATTGCCTGCTTTATCACCTTTTATGTTTCATTTTTTCTGATGTAAACAGAGGGTGTTCGAAAGGCAGAAAGAGACAGTAAACTCTCATCTTACATGTGTTTGGCAGCAGGCTGGGTGAAATTGTGCAACTCCCAAGCAAGGCACAGGGTAACACAAGCAGACCTGGCACAAAATGTGCTTTTAAACTCTTGGTCTTGCTTGCTGGGCAAGGCCTACTCATTGCGCCAGCTCTGGGAGTGCTGCAGATACACTAGCCGCAGGGTAGCGCCACGGTTTGACTATATGCAATTTTCACACATATGCATAATGCTTGGAACCAAACCCGTGTAAGATGAAGGGTTACTTTACACTGTATGCCTCACTGCTTTGAATGCCGTTTTCCAGAATATGATAATCCATCACGGCTACTTTGTTATGTAGTACCCTGCTTGCAAACAGGAATAGTACATGTCTTATTGGCCTTTATTTCAGTCATATAAGCTGCAGTCATGTAGGGTTGTTTTACAGCTAGCAGGCCAGCATTCCACATGCAAATTTGCTTAAAGATATTGCACTAATATATCTGGAAATATTGAAAGCAACAGATCTCTTGTAAACTGTCATAACTAGCTAAAAAACTCTGACAGGAACAGTTAAGTTTTTAAATCAGTTTTCCTGTCCAGTGGAATACCCACTTTAATAATATGAGAAATGATGGGGAAAGTCACTTGACCAAGGCATGGTCCCAATGAATACTGAAAGAGCATAATCCAACAAGCACGCTCATCTCTCTCACGACCCTCATTCATTTTATTGATGCTGGCATGGGAGCAAGCTTGGTCTCCATTGTGTATTGCTGTGCTCGACTGAGCTTAAAATGAGGTAGAACTGACAAGAATCTGTTTTTGAGTGCAGGGGCAAAGCAGTAGAATGTCTGTAGTAACTACAGAGTGTCTTTCAACATGTGCCCAATGTTGAACGCTCCGAGTAAAAAACGAATAGTGTGTCTTCATAGCAGGGTTATTCCTCAGCGGTTCTGCACTGACAATGGAGCATTCACAATTAGCAATATTCACAATTTCTTTTTAACAGCAAAGGTCACAATGCAGTATTTTCTGAGGGAATTTCAGTAGTCTTTGGAGATCTGGCTACGAAAATACATTTTTCACAGTATCTAGAAAGAAACTAATTATAATTATAGCTTTTAGGTAAAGACTCATGGAAACAGAAATAGTAGGAAGATCAGGGGTGGCTGAGGGATGCAAAAGTTTTAGATTGCTTGAGGGCTGATGGTTATTATGGGGTGGCATTTGTAGTATTATTATTATTATTATTATTATTATTATTATTATTATTATTTAATTTTTAATCATGCCATTTAATTTTTTTCTTGACATCATTTTTATTTCTCTATGATTTTTATTGTGTCTACTCACCTCCCATTAACATGTGAATGTTTTTGCCACTGACCTCATCAATTCTAATACGTAAGTACTGTTGGAAGGCATGTTTTTGTAATTCCCTGAGCAATGAGCCAAGATAGCTGCTCCTTATCCATTAAAGGCAGGGATGGGAAACCTCCGATCTGGGCATCAAATGAGACTTCTCTTCTGGCCCTCAGGACTCTCCGCAAGCTACACACCCTCCTCAGTCACCCACCCCTGCTCCCCAGCCACACCATTCTAGGACTGATCTTGGCTGGCTGGAATGTGTCCCTTGCTTGCCTGGGTGGAGGATAGAAAGGGGTATATTCAGTATGTTTAGAAACTGACCTACTGTAAACAGGTTAAATCTACATTCATTGCTCTGCCCACTTTTGCCTGTGAGCCCCCCCACCCTTGGGAGGCTGCCTAGAAGGGAATGTGCCCTCAGTCTGAAAAAGGTTCTTCACTTCTGCATTAAGACTTCACAGTTTTTCAGGAACTTTTCTTGTTCATAAGCCCCCTTTGAAATGAAAGAGAGCTGCTAGTCTGCACAGGATGAAACTCTTGTGCAGCTTTCATTTGTTTCACTTAAGCCTGTGCACAAGATATTTCCAGTTAGTTACATCTCTTATGAACAATTTTTATTATATTTCAAAATAGTAAGGGGGCTTCTGCAAGTAAACATCTTTTGTTTCTTGTTTGCTCTTCCCTAAAAATTCTACATTTTATTATAACTTGCAAACTTTAAAAAGTTAGTATTCTTTCACTCTGCTTTCTCTTCTTCTGGAGAATGAATCTAGTTAAGGTTTTAACTATGTAGTAGCATCTGATAAAGACTTTCCCTTCCATCATGCATGACTAAATAGTTGCAGGACTTTCATTTAAAAATGTACTTTAAGAAATGTTAAAAAGTCTTAAAATATCATGGAGTTGCAGTCTAAGGCTGAGATGGCCATGGTTTAGGGGAAAGGGTCTTAAGGGTCAAATTGAGAACCGTTCAGGGCCTGATTAGGTCCATTGGCTGGTGGTTTCCCACCTCTCCTCTAAGTGATCACAGGTAAAATGGCCAAATTCATTTGAACGGAGCATTAAAACATTGAAGTATATTTATATAATATGCAGATGGACAATCAATATCTGGATTTACCCTTTCTCTTCTTATGCAAGCATGGCCCTGTATAACTTTCTAACATTTTCTGATACAGGCCTCGGTTTTAGCTAAGTTTGTGACATCTGAAAATACTCTTTGGAGGCTTTCAGAAACACAAACCATAAAATAGTAAAGACACAAAATATATCTTGGGAAATAGTTTTTTCTAGTTCACATTCTTTTCTATCTTTTTTTAGTTGCTTCATACACAGTGGAATCAGCCTAACATTTGGTTATTGAAAACAGCAAAGGGTGAAACTACACTGTCATTTTGTATATGTAAAACTCTGCCCTGAGGTGATGTTTTTTCTTTGTTATTTACTGGCATTAAATCTGCCTTCTTCTTTTCAAATATACATGAATCTTAAGAACAGTTGCATGCATCTCATGGCGATGTTCCCTCATACATAATGATAGTATAATTTCACCCTAAGTGAATTGCCAGGATAAATATTACACTATTACTATACCTTGCTTTGGGATCAATTTCACATGGTGATGACAATGCTCTGAAGTAAACATCAAGGATGCTTAATAAGAGATTTAACCAAAATAAACTGAAGCTAATTATTATGTAGCAGTTACCCAACTACTGATTGGGACTGATGAAAAAGTATTTATTTAATGAATGTGTTAAGGAAATGTAGAAAGTTTACAGTTATTAATACACAGCAAATTTCATTCCCATTGGAGAAATTTTGTAAAATGTCATGAGATTACATCCAGTAGAACACTACTAAAATATCCCTGGCTTCTTGCCTTACATGGAAACCAAGAGGCACACTGAACTCTTCTTTTTATTAACAGCAGTTGCTTTAAAAAAGAGAGACTGCCATATAATGCTTCTGTGGTTCCAATGGACTTGCTTTGTAAATCCATTCTAAAGCTGTGTACAAACCTAGGATTATTGAAATGATAGTGCCACTCTGGAAATATACTTGTGTTCTATTCAAACAAAACAATTTTCTCTCCCAGATCAAGCTCAGGAAAACTGGTCCCGTGAAATTTTGCAGAAGTTGGCTGTACATAGAGCTAATTAGCAGACACTTGTGATGTCACAAACCCACCTCCATTGACCTGGGAACAATTTTGCAACTTCTTAAAAAAAAGCAGCCTGAGGCAACTAAAGAGCATTTGAATCAGACATCTTGGCCTTCCAGATGTTGTTGAAATCCAGCACCTTACACTCCCTGACCATGCTGCCTGTGGTTTATGGTGGTTGGAGTTCAACAACAACTGAAAGGCCACGGGTTCCCTGTTTTAAATGATTAAGTGTGCATCCCATATGCCTCCCTGAAGCATTTGGAATAGGCAAGATAGCTGAATTCAAGCTTTTGGATGACTTGCTTGTCTGTTATTTACATTGTAAAGGTGGGAGGAAGCCAGGCTCACTCCATTACAGAACTCCACTGTAACTTCTGATTTAATGCTGTGATTGTATGCATCCTTCAAATGCGCTGTTCTCATGAAACTTGGGGTTTTCTTGCAGAAATTAGAACTTAAAATTTGGCCACAATATGTTAATAGGAGTATTATATCAGGGCTTCTCCAGACTGGTGTTTTATTTGTGTGTGTGTGTTCCACCGTGGGTGGGTGGAGGCACACGGTGTCTTACACTTGTCATTGACACAGTAATAGTGCGTTAGTGGCAGATTTATCCTGAACCATCCACCCGTCTTTCAGCTTTATTTACATTCTGTGATGCTTCCCCAGTGTTACTGCATTATTGCCCTCTGGAGGGGCATTTTCTGTGCTATTGCCGAACAAAAGCAGGACAACCACCACTGCCACTCCCAGAACATTTGTGCTGTAAGAAATTACAGGACTTCAACAAGAAGCTACAAAACATGCACCAATTGGATACAGGGCAGTTTGACTGCCCCGAAACTTTTGCAGTCACAAACTGTATTGAAAGAGTGATTGTATAAAACTGCCCCAACACCACCAAGAATGCACAATAAAAAGGATGTCTGGAGGGGCCCTCACTTGCTGAATAAGGAGATGAAATAATAGTGCTTATAGTGTTAACTATTTCAATTGTAAGAGAGCATGAAGTAGAAAAGAACCATATAGCCTTGATGGAGCAACTTAATCTGATAGCTTAAGTCCCCCTGATTGCCATCTAGATGCAGCTGCCCTGGCAGCCCAGAACAAGTCTTCCGATGATATCATCAAGTCCTCCAAGTTCCCAGCAGCCCACGCTCCAGCACCCAACGAGATTCCAAAGATTGAGACAGAATACTGGCCAGGTCCACCCGCACTTGCGGCTGTAGGTATGGAACAACAAGTGACAAAAGTGTAAACCCCACCCCCAGCTTTCTACTAACCTATAAATAAATTTAGACTAATATTAATTAGTGTGTGATACAGGGACATTGAATTCATTTGCACCTGATCCTTAAGAGTCTTATGGGTGCTACACTATATAATGTGAAAAGAGGGGGAGAGGGGTTTCCCTGGAAAACCCTGTAGTTTGGAATGTATAACCTCAGACTCTGGGATTTCTAATCCCTGGAGTCTACATTCCATTGAAGTGCACACTCCCAGGTTTTCCTGCGTTTCCTTCTCATTTGGACCCCTCCCATGCATGCCTAAAACCGAACCTCTAAGCTTTGCTTTAAAGTATCTAGAGTTCATAAAGACATTTAGGGTTTATCACAAGAGCTTTATGAAGGGAGATTTTTTTCCCATGTGTACATGCTGTTCCTCCGATTTCCCCCTTTTAAGAGCTTTTGGCCCCCGAAATCACAATGCACTTTTTGAATTCAGAGAGTTTAAACAGGAAGTTGAGGTTTCTGTGGGAAACTTTTTGAGAAGCAAAGTGAGGATTTGGATATTTCTCCTTAGTTTCTAGTCAAAAATATTATCATTTCTTTATGAATATATTTATATGCTGCTATATCATAAAAATCAAGTGCGGTTTTGACCACAGTATCTATATACAATAAAATTTTGTAAAAACTTAAAATCAGAGACCATCACCTATTATTGAAATGTGTTTTCTTAATTGCCTGCATAAGCTTGGCAGCATGGAAAAGTTTTCAGCAGGCATTTAAAGGTTAAAGCAAAAGGTGCCTGCTGAGGAATGTGTCCAAGGAATTGGTCTACAGGGGCAGAGTTAAGAGATTACAAATAACATTGTCTTCATAATCTCATTCAAATCAATGTGTTAAATTGACTGTTGCAATGAAGCCTGACTTGTTTAAGGATTTTCTTACTTCAACACCTTTTCACTGTATCTAATTAGGATAGGAAACCAAAGATACAGACAGGGTGAGTCATATTATTAGAAAACCTGAGGCAAGCACATTTGGCAGCAGGTGCTGGGGGACATACTCTGCGATCAGGCATACACATCATCCTGAGCTGGTGCCCAGGCATTGGCACCACACTGCTGCTGAATTGCAATGTTTGTTTGACCAGGCAGTGAGCAGGTGCCAGGTGGCACAGTGCATGAGTGAGGCAAGGTGTTTGAGGTCATAGCTGTGGGGCCACATAGCCTGTCCTGCACCTCCTAAGGTAACCTCCTGCCCTTAGCTGCAATGGAAGATGTTATCCTGTTGCCAGTGTTGGAGCAAGAGTCAGTTGCCCGTCCTATGGACTTCTGTTCATGGAACTGAGTGAGGGGACATGAGTCCATCATCTCAGGCTGCAAAATGTCCTTAAAGTTCTTGATTTCAATACATAGCACAAGCAGATTTCCAAATAAATGAAGTTAAAAGTGGCCTACTATTAGCATCATATTTGTGCCTTAATATATTAATTTTATTTTCCATGCTTTTTTCATTTTTAAAAACACTTTTTTTTGTTAAAACCCAATATGTATCATGTCATATTATCTGTCCACATGATTATTTAAATACAGTAACTGTTGGTTACCTGTTAACGGTTAGTTGCATACAAAAGCCTGATTCTCATGTTAGCTGGGGAACTCAGTGTGAGGTGATTTTACAACATCACATCAATGTTACCGCTTTTTTGTCAGCATTGTGTGATCATGTCAGCATAAAGAGTTTTTTGCAATGCCAGCTTTATGGAGGGGGAAGAAATCTCACAGTGGTGATTTTCCTTTCAAAATTATTGTATGACTGCACCCTAAGTATATTATTAAAATTAATATTAAATGACTGGGTAACAAATTCCAGATATACTGTGACACAGATGAGAATGAGGGCTTGTTTGCCATGGGTCATAGTAAGCATTAGCTCTGACTATAATAGGGTGTATGAAGCCAGCTTACTCACCATATGAAATGGCCATAGCTAAAATCATCTCATACTGACTTCACCAAATCCAGAAGGCACAGGTGAATTGGACCTATAGCAGGCATTTGGGGATCTCTAAAGAAAATAATTTATTCTTCTAACATGGAATGTGGTCAGCTTTATAAGAAACTGGAAACAGTTATCTTACATTTTGGAATATGTTAGCAACGTCTACTAAAGGTTCAAAATGCAGAACGACACAGGGACAGCAGAGATTTCATAGGGTGTGTGTTTTTGTGTGTGTGCGCGCTTTGAGCAAGGAAAAGTGACTTCAGGAGCTGGCTGCTTTCAGCAAGCAGTAGTGGCAGGAGAGAAGAGGGTGCCTAATCTTACTCCCGTGTACCATTTTCCCACTGCAATGCTTCTCCCTGCAAACTGGGCTCCAGACTCATGCTTGGGAGAAGACAGGAAAAAAATATGCATCTAGAACAGTGTTTGGGAAAAAGCAGCCTGGGAAACAGGATCTTGCAGCAGAAAAATGGCAGGCGGGAGGGTTTATGTACACTCTTGAAGCCGTTTCTGCTTCTTAAAATCATCCTTTGATATTTAAATGCATGTATATGCATGTAATATCTAGCTAAGCTCATGGTTCTGTACTCACTGTCATGATACATTAGGTGTGGGGAACCTTTGGCTCTCCAGATGTTACTAAACTAACAACTGCCATCAGCCCCAGCAAGCATGGCCACTGGCCAAGGATGTTGGGAGCAACACCTGGAGAGCCAATGGTTTACCACATCTGCTTTATTCACCATTGTCCCCATGTCCATTTTGCTTGCATATCTTACCCTTCCTATTCACATTTCCAGTGTTTCCCTATTTTAAAAATCCATAATCATTTGCAGTCTTTGCAAAATAACTGAATTCATATGCTTGGGTTAATACTTTATTTTAGGTTTTACTTACTGTAGAACCTGAAATGTTATTTATCTTAAATGTGGTTCTTCTAATTGGCAGAGTGCTTTCCACAACAGCCTTGTAAGCTGGGTCAATATTATGTATGTTTCACAGAAGAAGAAAAACTTCATAGCACAGTCTTTGCCATTCTGCTCAGAAATAAGTCCCACTGAGTTCAGTGAGACTTAAACCCAAGTGAATGTGAATATGATTACAGGCTGCAATAATGTCCAGGGTTTCTAGATTCAAGACCAAATGTTTATCCAACCACTATTATTGATTATGTCTTACATCTTTTCAAAACTTTAAAAAAGTCCTTAACCATTGATTCAGGGCTTTTGATGTTTTCTTGCAATAGTATATTATATACCTCTCCTTGGTGAACCTGTGGAGAGTGCAAGAGAGAGAGAGAGAGAAAGAGAAATTCTAAAACTTTAGCTATGCCTACCTCATATATAGAGTTGTGGGAATAAAATGCGGAGGGGAAGAACCATGTACTCCACTTTGAGCTCAGTGAAGGAAAGGTGGGTTATAAATGTAATAATAACAACATATATCACTAAAAACATGGGCCAAATCTCAGCTTCCCATTGGTAACTAGAAATGGAGTTGCTCAAATCTTTCATCCTAAAGCTTTTATTAAAAGGGCCCACCTAATTCCCAAGTTCTTTATGATATTATTCCCTGTTGTTACAACTGACAAAGTTTTAATCTACTTAATGGAGTTGGACGTAGAGGTGCCCGTTAGAAAGTAGAAGTCCCCTTATATAGGCATAAGGGCTATTTTGAACATAGCACAAGATGCTTATTGTGAGAGCTGAAATCCAATGGTACACTTCTGTAACACAAGTTCTTGCACAAACTTCAAGATGCATGCTTATGCAAGTCCAAGTTGTGCAAAGTCTTCCTCTAGCTATTGTACGAAAGTTTTGGGGCCAGAATTCTGCCAGAGCTTTTTCTACTGGTGCCTCAGGATCCAGCCCACAATGCGTACGAGATTCACTTACCAATTGAAAAAAGTACCGTATTTTTTGCCCTATAGGACGCACTTTTTCCCCTCCAAAAATGAAGTGGAAATCTGTGTGCGTCCTATGGGGCGAATGCAGGCTTTCGCTGAAGCTTGGAGAGCAAGAGGGGTCGCTCTCCAGGCTTCAGGAAGCTATCAGCAAGCCTGGGGATAATATTTTTTTTTTCTTTATTCCCCCCCCCCAAAAAAAAAACTAGATGCGTCCTATGGGCCGGTGCGTCCTATAGGGTGAAAAATACGGTAGCTAAAACGTGCAAAATTACTATTTAGAAAATTGAAGCCCTGGGCCAAATTAGCTCTACCATGGCCTCTCAATTAGGAACACGGAGGAGAAAGATACAAGCAATGGTTGTATCGATGGGACGTTACCAAATATCTGTTTTCAGGAGTTTGGCTGTCGGCACTCAGTTTTCCTCAATATGGGCCTCTAGTAAAATGAGTGAAACCACAGTATTTACAGTATATGTCACACTTAGGAGGTAACAAAAATTTGGGTTCTACTCAGAAGGCAACAGAGTTAAACTGGAGATAAGTATATCATGGCTATTTCTGAAACAAAATTGATAGAACATCTGGCTATGTGTTTAGTGGAGTTTAGTTTTGTTATTCAGCAAGCAAATTTTATGCGGCAGGCCTAAGGAGACATGGGTAATGGTTGTCAATCCTTGTGTACAGTTGTGCAAGAAGCTCTCTTTGTGCTGTGGTTTTGTGGAAGTAGGTTCTGACATGCGCCGCAGATCCACTGGCAGAGATGAAGATCTTGAGGAGCTTCAGAGACGTCGGCAGCTACAGGAGGAACAACTAATGAAGGTGGTTATGATATTGATGTGAATCACTCATCTGTGCCAATTGAACTGGATGTTTTCAATAGCTTACGTACAATTTTTAATTCCCATTTTTGCAGCTCAACTCAGGTCTGGGACAATTGATATTAAAAGAAGAAATGGAGAAGGAAAGGTCTTCGCTTCCCAGCAGCCGTTATAACTCTCCAGTTAATTCATGTAAGCAAAAAGCATACATGGGTGGTCTATGGGAAATGATGGATTAGGCTGCCTAAAATAAAACCAGTTTTTTCATCTATTCTATTGCTGGTTCTGCGAAAAGATGTTGATCAGTGAAGCTGTTTTTATCACTCCTGTGTTCAACGTCTGCCGTTTTATCGCTGGCTGTTTTTCACAATACATTCTCAGAATGCCTTGTGCAAGAATTGAGATTTCCCGATTCCAGATCCTTGGCACATCTTAAATAAATCAAATGAGGAAATGGCTGGGGAGTAAATATATTCCCAGATTACAGAGGAAATATCATGATGTTGTTTGAAAGACTGCTGATCCATGAGATCAGAATTTTTATGAACAGTACGATAATTGTTGGTGCTGATTTCTTGGGAAAGCTTCCCTTGCTTTGGTCTGTAAAGAAACAGAAAAATATTAGTGGTATGTTGCTTACTCCAATTAATCTTCAACTAGTTCTCAAATTAGAAATAAAAAATGATGTGGTTGGCAGTAACTTAAACGAGTTTTAAAAAAAATAGCCTTGTATAGAGCCTGAAGTTTGATGACTAATTCTGATTATTCTTTTTTTTAAAAAAAAACCACCTCGTTTGCATCAAGATTTAAAAAGCAACAGCATTTAATTTAGAAAACAAATACTGAGTTGCACATTTTACAACAAGCATCTTTTATGATTGCTTACTTGCCTAAATGAATAACATGTAAAATGTAGATTACTGCTGAGTTCACGGCAATATTAGTGTTCCTGAAAAGCCAACAAGCTAGGCCAGGAAATCATGTTTAAAAAGTGGCATACACCTTGTTGATATTTATGCTTCTCATAGCCTTTTAGCCTTTCCCACATTGGGAGAGGAAATCAGCATTGCCTCAGGGAGCAGGGCAGCACATTCCAAAGTGCTGGATCATAGAAAACGGAATCACTGGCTCACTAGACAGGTCGTATGGGCAAACTATGATACATTCCAGAGAAAAGACTGCATTTTATAATTACTGCTTAACCGTTTGTTTATAGGAGGATGTGTATGATTCTGTATAATTGGATTGTATGTCCTTCATGCACTTTTCAAAACTCTAAGATGGAAGTACTTGTGACAAAAGCACAACTGCTTACCTAGTAAAGGTAAAAGGTAAAGGACCCGTGGATGGTTAGGTCCAGTCAAAGGCGACTGTGGGGTTGTGGCACTCATCTCGCTTTCAGGCTGAGGGAGCCGGCATTTGTCCACAGTCAGCTTTCTGGGTCATGTGGCCAGCATGACTAAACTGCTTCTGTCACAACGGAACACTGTGACAGAAGCCAGAGTGCACGGAAACGCCATTTCCCTTCCCACCACAGCGGTACCTATTTATCTACTTGCACTGGCGTGCTTTCGAACTGCTAGGTTGGCAGGAGCTGGGACAGAGCAACAGGAACTCACCCCAACGCGGGTGGCACTGTGGTCTAAACCACTGAGCCTTTTGTGCTTACCTACTAACTGTGGGCTAAAAAAGAAGTGCATTTTAAGCAGCATAGAGGATTGTATACTCCCATCTTTTTGAAGAGAAACAGAGGACAGGGAGCTTTGTGACCCCTGAAAATGGCTTTTCTTAAGACAGAAATGTAAGCAGGTGGGGGTGAGTGGGCTAGTTCCATCACCCCTCAGTCACCATTTCAATCACCTTCCAACTTCTAGAAGATGAGCAACAGGGAACATTTTATAGCCCATGCAGCACCCCCGCACGTTTCAGAATGCTGAACCTCCACCCTCCTGTTCCCCCCCCCTCTTCATAGCATTAGAAGAGGGATTTTGTTGAAACTAAATTCAATATAATAAGGCCAAGTTTGCTTCAAACTTATAATTTCAAGATTCCTTTTGGAGAAAATCTTGTGGGTTCTTTTAACTGATTTCTAAAATGTCCTGACTTTGACTTTTTGAATGTGTGTGTTATTGTTTCTGTCCTAACATAAATTGTTACATTATTGATATTTCCTTCTCCCTTTTCTGTTTAGCTCCACATGCAACTGCTTCCAAAACCTCTTCCCTTCCTGGCTATGGAAGAAATGGACTTCATAGGGTAAACAGTCAACATTTCTTATAAGACAGGGTCATATGTGTCATTATTCTGTTATGAATTTCATGGAGTCTCTAAATGGTATTGATTGAAAGTAGGTGGCCCTAAAACCCTTTATCTGTTCTGGAGTTCAGGAAATGCAAGTGATTATAGATTCACGTAGCTTCCCAAGTATTGCTCTCTCAATGCACTCAAACAAGGATAGATACATTCAGAGTACTATGTGCCATATTTCTGAACCATCCTAAAATAGTTGAAGGCAGATATAACTGGGCTTTAGTTAACACTACATTATCTCTCCATTTCTGAAAATCCTTAAAATAACAATGTAGCACAAGAGGAACACAAGGGGAATTCTTATGCAGTGGTGCAATATTAGAACCTGATGTACAGTGGAACCTCGGTTGTTGAATCCGTTCCAGAAGACCGTTCGACTTCCGAAATGTTTGACAACTGAGGTGCAAAGGGAGAATGTCAATTTCAATGGTGAAAATTGAAAAACACACCACGGAAGCCATTCAACTTCTGAGGCATGTTTGAAAACGGAAGCAATCACTTCCAGGTTTTCAGCGTTCGAAAACCGAAATGTTTGGCTTCCAAGACGCTCAAAAACCGAGGTTCCACTGTATATTCTATGTGTCTCTTAAGCAATACATCAGATGATATTTGCTTCAACTTTTTTAGTGAATTCCATCCCCAAACTTTTAAAATATAGTTCAGAAAAACCTAATGCCGCCAGTTGGGTATCAATAATTTGATGCCTGAGTTTGTTTGTTTGTTTTCCTCTTCCCTCCCATCACTTTATCTTGTGTGCTGTGTTGTAAGCCTGAGTGCAAGCACTCTGTTATATTTATTGATTTGTAAGCTGCTGTGGAAACTTTTCTGGCTGAAGAATGGGTTGTACATGCTTTGAGGGAAAAATCAGGCCTGGCCCAAGATACTTCAGCATTTGAGATAAAGACCTAATGAATCCAGAATTGCTCCCCTGGCAGCAAAAGTACAATGATCAATTGCCACTACTCCATACCCTTTAAGTAAAGGTAAAGGGACCCCTGACCGTTAGGTCCAGTCGCGAACGACTCTGGGGTTGCGGCGCTCATCTCGCTTTACTGGCTGAGGGAGCCGGCACACAGCTTCCAGGTCATGTGGCCAGCATGACTAAGCCGCTTCTGGCGAACCAGAGCAGCGCACAGAAACGCAGTTTACCTTCCCACTGGAGTGGTACCTATTTATCTACTTGCACTTTGACGTGATTTCAAACTGCTAGGTTGACAGGAGCAGGGACCGAGCAATGGGAGCTCACTGTGGCTTTTCACCTCTTTGGGATCTTTGCTACTTCTCCCCGCTCATTCAAGTGTTTCCTGTTTCACAGACCCAGTGCTTCACTACAGTCATCTCTTCCCCACTACCCTATTTTATCTTCTTCTGTGGTCGGTTTTTATGTGCATATGCTGCATATTTTTGACACCTCCAGATCAACAATGTGGTTGACGTGTCCATTTGTGTCTTCTTCTAGCCGGTCTCTACAGACTTTGGTCAGTACAACAGTTATGGGGATGTGAGCAGCGCTGCTCGAGGTAACATGATGAGAAATACGGTTTTCTTTTGTATGCTGCTATATCTGTAACCTATACGCTTGGGTTTTTGTGGCCTGCTTTTGTGGTTAGTCTATTCTCATAGCAGACAGGTGAACACCTTACTTATCCCTGCAATGTACAAATTTTTGTTCTTGCAAATGAATCTGGTTCTTCAGCAGTGAGAACAAGTTAAAATAAAGAGGGGAATGTGTACATTAAAACCCTATTTTATTTTATGCATATGGATCTGTATTTTTGTCTGCTTGATTCTGATCATTTAGTTCAGTATTTCTCAAACATGGGTGTCCAGCTATTTTTTCAACTACAGTTCTCATCATCCCTGACCTGCTAACTAGGGATGATGGGAGTTATAGTCCAAAAAAGCTGGAGACCCAGGTTTGGGAAACATTTAGTTGATTCCTGCAAGTTAGGAGCTTGGGGATTAAATGAAACACGTCTTGTTTGGCATCCTAATCCTGATGCTGTTTCTCTCCCCACCCCATCCCCATCACTTTTCAGATTTTCAGGTACAGTACAGATTTTCTTCCAGCAAGTAACCAAGTATCTAACCAACTTCATCGACAATTCATCCACTATGTGACTCAAGTCTGAATTTCCGCTACAGGGAAGAGTTTCTTAGCACATGTTTATCTGCATGTTTCATTTCTAACCAATGATGTAAACTTATATCACTGTGGAAAAGGGCACAGCTAACACAATACCTTGCATAGGCCAGTTTTGTGACTTGCTTGGTAAGCTTTTGGAAGACTGACCTGAAAGCCACCTGTGGCAGTTGTTTCTCCATCAGGTTTCTCCTGATCTCTCTGGTTCCAAACAAGGGAGGTCCAGACAATAACTCTCCTCTTTCTGAAGCCATACCATCTTCCTATTTTCCACATATGATTCCCTGACCTTTCCTCCTTTGTATGTGGTTGTGGGCATGGAAGAAATAGCCAGCAAATGACTTCATATAACACAGACATGAAGATCCATTGATTGACCAATAAAAAGGGTTGTTGTTTCTTCTAAACGCCAGCCCTAACTCTAAATTCTATGTAAAATTCTTATGAAGAGATCTGGACAGAATCTTTATTGCATATTATGCTATTAATGTGGAAAGTCTTTTTCAGCCTGGGATAGGTAGGAACTTGCCATTTTACTGGGCAGATTTTTTTACAACAGGGCAAAAACTTCAGAGTAAAGTATAGCTGGAAAAGTAACATAGAAGATGACAAGTCAGTTCTGTGAGACAATATTGCCCGTCATTCCTCTTCCTCCCCTACAAATTGATTTATTAATACCAGACACTGGGGGGAAATGCTGTTGCCTGCTAGCTTCCCAGAGGCATCTAGCTAGCCACTCTTGGAAACAGAATGCTGGATCTGATGGATCTTTGGTCTGATCCAGTAGGTCAATTCCTTGGTCCTTAGAACCAGAAAGATTCTCTTAACTTGCTACTTAATCTTTACTACTGGGAATGCTTTTGTTGGACACCATAGAAACCAGATTGTTAACTTGCTTAAGGAGTACGTAATCATAGTATTCCATTGGCTGATGTAAAGATCTAACATGGGATCATAGTATAAATACATGTCCATATTCACCTTGAATGCCTTTACCCTTTCTATGTGTGTGTGCATGTAACCTGTGTGTCTGATGTTTACCTATATCTGATACAGTCCCTCCCAGATGGTCATGTCCCTGGAATGCGAATGGACCGAGGAGTGTCTATGCCTAACATGTTGGAACCAAAGGCAAGTGCAGACATTATTCACTTTCCTTCAAGACAGTGATGGTTTGCCTATGAAATGGTGGTAGTTTGTGCTTGTAGCCCTGTGGTCTGTCCCCCTCACCCCCCAAAATGTTGCTCCTTATGTGCCAGCCCTATCTTGCTTTGGACTGTAGGACATATGTCATTGATGTATACAGGGCAAGAGCAGCTAATATTTCCTGGGGAACAGACAGCAGCGTTCAGTGAAACTTGAAACTGGTAAGCTTTCAGGACCAAGCTTCTGACAGCCACAGTAATAAGAACCCACAGGGCACAGTCTGTAACTGAGCAGTGGTGCCTGCTAAACACCCCTTTCAGCAGGGAGCCACATCTTTACGTACCCCACCTCCAGTGCTTTTTTTTCCAAGAAAAATAGGTGCTGGAACTCACCATGAAGTTACAGTAAGTCACCGGGTGACTCAAGGCAGGCCTAAACAGATGCCGGCTTGATAGAACCCATGTTCACCGCCTGCAGAGGTGCTAAAAAAACGAGGGGGGAAAAACGACTGCAAACTGTCTCCCTAGCTAGTTTGGGGGTTTCCCCTCGTTCTGGTGCAGGTCAAATAAATGCACCTCCACTTCCCTCTTTCTCTTATATTCAGGCCATCACACAATTGCACATAGGTGCAACGGTAGAGACCTGGCAGCAAAGCTTAAAGCCTGCTGCTGCTACACAAGGGGTTGATTGAAGAAAAGGAACTATGAATTGGCCCCACCCCATAGCCTGACCAGTCGCAGCTAGGAGCGACTAGGAGCTAGGTGGAGTCATGGATCTTAAGAAAAAGTGTAGACTCACACATGTTGGACTGCTTCCATTTTGGGCTTCTCAGAAGTATGTAAAGGCAAGAGGTGAGTGGGGAGTTCTGGCACACTCCTGCTGAAAAAAAACACTGCGCACCACTGATGTCATGTGTGACATCAGGTTAGGGCAGGTGGAGAGCCTTGCAGCAGAACCCCCTGCGAAACCTGATTAGGCCCACAGGTCATAAATTCCTCACTACTGTCATAATAGCACAAGAATGTATGCTTGTGCAACATAACCTTCCGCCTCTCCTTGCCTGGTGCTCCCTAAATCTCTTCTAAGGGATTCCTCAACTCTCCAAAGCAGATTTGGGGAGGCCATGTATGGAAAGTTTATGGGAGATGGGAGGTTTAGCATAAATCCTTGTACTGATGAGATGCGTTAGCTTGATGGCAACCAACCTGAGAATTCTGCCCAATTTTGGACTCAAAATATTTTTTAAAGCACTTAAGAGCACTACTCTGTGGTTTTGTAAAATATAAGAATATGATTAATGACTTCAAAGTTATCAGCAAAGTTTGTGGAATTTTGGCTAATTTTGTTACAATAATGTATGTTAGTTTTATGTTGCATTGTATAGCATTAAAAAGATGTATTTAAAGTTATATAGTAAAGTGAATTGTATAATTGTCATATTCCACTACCAATTCTCTTCCAAGCTGTATATAAAGTACACATCATTTAAATAATTACAATAAACTAAGTGGTATATGTTTGATGACTTTATCTTCTTTATTGTACTTCTGAAATCTTCATTAGGTGTTGCAGCTGATAAAACAACTAGCGGTCTCAATTAGGTCCCACCATTTTATTGACAGTTTTAAAAAAATTGACAAAAGTCTCTTACAACCTTCAAGGAGAGGAAAATTGGGCCCTGATCATTGGCATATTCAGCCAGTAGCTCAGATAAAGAACTCTTGTTTAGATATCTTGATAGAGCTAGAAAGGACTAGAAGTTTCATTTCCTCCTACTGGTACACCATATTCTGCATTATGGAAAACCTGATTGACGTTTGCTCCAATTGAGCAGTAAAGAGTAGGTTTTCCTAGGGGAAAGCATTGGAACAAGCAGAAGTGTGGACAAAACAATCCCTTTCTTATGCTGTGGTGACTGGTGTCCATTGGGGGTTAGTAGGGTGGAAAGGGAGTCAATGGTAGATAGAGCTAGAGCCAATGACAAGCAGAGCCAATTCTAGTTTTGTCCCTATACCTGTTTGCCCTACACGTACAAAACTCAAACTAAGGAGGAGGAAGGTGACAGCCAGTGTATTAGTTGTAAGTAAGAAGGCAGGCAAGTTGGGGCTGACTGGGGGCAGACTGAGGTTGGTGGGACAGTGATCCATTTAGCAGAATAGACCAACCTCTACTGCATGGAGCTGGGATAGGTCAGTTGGTAGAGCACAAGACTCTTAATCATGGGTTTGAGCTCCATGATTGGCAAAGGATTCCTGCAGGGGGTTCAAATACATGACCCTCATGGTCTCTTTCAACACCACAGTTCTATGATTCTATGTCTAGTATAAGAGAAACTTGTCCACCATTACTATCTTCTAATCAAGAAACAACTATTAAATTGCTTAGTAAATTCCACAACACAGAAAACCACTGAATCAGCAGAACAAGTTAGGTAGCTAGCTTTGGTGGATATGTGAAAAATCAGCTTCAACTGGACAGGACAAGGGTGGAAGAAAAGACACATGATTGAGATACTTGTTCAGACCTAACGATTGTACCTTCATTAATGAAGTAGTTATTTTTCATGTGAACAAACCAAAATGGGTAATGCCCCCATCAAGGATAATCCAGAAAATGAAATGAATCCACATAGATTTTTAGTATAATGTTGTGCAAAAATGAACTGGTATAGACATCCTGCTAAGTATGATTTATTTATTTTTTAAGGAACAAAGGATTCAAGGAAACAGTGCACATTACACTCAAATACTTAAGGCAGCTTTTTAGTGAACTTGAAGCTGTCTGCCAACAGTGACTGCATTCTGCTTGTGAGCTTAATGGTGTATTTTTGGGGTGATCTAAATCTACATAAATGCTTCTTGTATACCATTAACAGATATTCCCCTATGAACTGCTCATGGTGTCCAACAGAGGGCGAAGTAAAATTCTACGAGAAGTGGATAGAACCAGGCTGGAGGTAAGAGAATATCAGACTCCCCAAACAGATGTTTGGGCTAATGGTTTTTAAAGGATACAAGTCTCTTGTTTAAACATTTGGACTGATAGCTGCCCTTTTCCTTCTCTTCCTTCAGCGTCACTTAGCACCTGAGGTTTTCCAAGAAATATTCGGCATGACGATACAGGAATTTGATAAATTACCTCTCTGGAGACGCAACGACATGAAGAAGAAAGCCAAACTCTTCTGAATCCCATTCTCTCCTTTGGAGGGGAGAAAATACCACATATAGGATAATGTATCATACTTAAGTTCAAACGCTTTTTGGAGAGCAACCACGAGAGAGAGAGAGGGGGGAAATGGGGGTTAAAGGGAAAATCTGAGAAAGGCACCTATATATTCCATGCAGTTGTGCAAAGGCCTTACAAGCTTGCCAGAGAGTTGTGACCCAAAAATGTTGACGTTCTAAATCTCAGCAGTGGTCTTTATGCATTATAAAGTTTTTACATGGCATCAATACATAATGTGGAGCTGCTCTGCCCTCCCTCGTTTCCCTTCACTTTTATTTAAAGGTCAAGGGGCAATGCTGATAGAGCCAGGAAGTGCCAATAGGATGCCAACCCACAATTATGTCATCATGGTCTCTCCAAGGAATGAATGACTATATTCTGTAGCTAACGAAGGAATCCTGTGTAATATATTTATCCTTTGGGCACAGCCATTACAATTAATTGGCCTTGCCTTCAAATGGCCTATTATTGTTGCAGTGCCCATCAGCAAAGCAGGCCACTGAGCCAAAGTTCTGCTGCATACCAGCCAAATTCTTTGCAAGGAAACTCCCAGCTTGCACTTGCGCACATCTGCTAGGAATCTTCAGAACAAATTATCTTATTTTGTTGTCAAGTCTTCTCTCCTCCCTTTGTCCGGCTTTAAGCGAGTTTGCTAAGTGTTAACAAGAGCAGCAAGCCAAAAATGAAAGAGTTGGTTTTCTCGTTCTGTGTTGAGAAAAGCATTTCCAAAGTGAAATACAGGTGTAGGCTTAATTCAGATGCTACTTGTGCCATGTGGCAATCTATGGGGCATGGTCTAGCCACATGCTGCTTTGGTAATGTTTCTAAAGGACTAGTATGTGGGCTCTTGCAATTATGTTGTTGCTTCCCATGCTGTCACCACCTGTTATGATGTCTAGCAGATGGGAAATAATCACATCACCCCTGCAAAGATGGCTCAACCCTGCAAACATCAATAGTGTGGGATGGGACCTGACTACACCAAAGCAAGTTCCATCCCATTACAAAGGGAATGACTGAATCAGGGCTACTGTCGCCTATACCAGCATACATCCACTGGCGTGCTGTACAGTTGAACTCCAGAATGTCTGTGACAAGAAAATGATATTTAATCCACTTTGTAGAGGAGATGCTATGAAACATGAATTTTGCTGCTAAAAAATGACAGATCAGCCACTTTCTTGGATGCTTTGATGACACAGCACACTATCAAGTTAAGTAATGGCCTGATTTGCACATCATGCTAAGCCAAATCATGGCTTAGTCAGTGCAACTGTACATATTCCCAGAGAGGAGACCGCAGTGACTTTGCTCCTCCCTGGTCCTTGTAGTGCTGTGCTAAGCTAAACCTTGCCTTGGGTCATCTGAACCCAGGCTCGAGGTTTAGCTCTCCTGAGTAAACCATGAATCATAGGGCAAATCTGGGTTGCAACTTCTGGTTAAGTCTGGAGTGAGCTAAACCACAAGCCTGGGTTCAGACGACCCAGTGAGCCATGCCTTTGCTTAGCACAGTGTGGCATGGCAGCAGGACCATGGAGAAGTGAAGCACTCCTGGAGCCCATGCATCTGGCTTAGCATGACATAGGAACCAGGCTAGTGTTTGATTTGGTTTTATTCAGGCAACTACAGGCTCATCCATAGTTAGGGCGCTTGGGTTTTCTTTTTTTGTAATATTTCAAAGCTGCAGCCTAGGCTATTTGCTTTATTTATCCTCAGTGCCTAGAAGAAGGAACGCCTAAGACAGTTTCTGAATTCAGTGATGCTCCCTCATCTACATGCAGTCCTGAGCATTGTGTGAAGTGGCCCCCATCTAGCAGAACTGCTTAGAGGGCTGTGCATATTCTGTTCATTTCAGAACAGTTAATAACATAATTTTCACAGACTCCAGACCTATTTCTTGCCAACAGTAGGATGCACTTGATACATTTATCTTTTACTTTGAGTGGTGATTGTTGCCGTTTTCACTGTTGTTTTCAATAGAAATTTGACACTAGCACGTCACTTACAGGGAAATACTATACATGTTTACTCAGAAGTAAAGCCCACTGTCTTCAATGAGACTTCCTTCTGTTCAGCCCCTGAAGGATGTCTTTGAGGGCAGGACATTCAGAACTTCCTGCTCTTACATTTAAGAGCTCAGCAGAGAGAATCGTTTGCCAAAAGGCGTTATCATAGAAGCGCTTGATAGGTTGGTCATCCAAGCCCATATCCTCATAAAAAGGATCTTTCATGCATCATATATTGATTTGTAGAAGAACATGTGGTAAAATGCAAGCACATGTCTTTTGTGAAAGTCTGGTCAAGTGGTGAAAATAATCTTACCACAAGTCTACACCATAACTCTGGGAAGCAGAGTGAGTGGTAACATTTTCACCACCACACTGATGAACCAGCTTATGAAGTGGCTACCTGGTGAAGTCATATGCCAGATCCCTTATCGGTTAGCAGGAGGAGAGTGCCAGCAGCAGAATAATAAGGACCCCAGCTCTGCAGGGGAGGTTAGCCATGTTATGTGGAAACCTAAACATCTCACCCACTAAAATCTGTCACATATCCCACATGATGTTGTAGCAGCATTAGGATGCTCCAATAGACTTTCAATCCATATTTGCATTATAGTAACACTTTCCATCATTATATTGTGTTGACTCATTAGTTCAAACTCACTGCCATTTACAATCAAAAGAACATTCTGGATTAATGGCCTGCAATAGGCCACACTGTTCAGTGGAGGAAAAAATGGATATTTGTACCAAGATCAGACAGTGGTTTGGAAGCTAATCTATAAAGGAATATATGGGCTGGCTGTTCTATGCCTTATTCCTAGGCATGCTATTGTCACTGCCACAACATCCAACATCTCAGTGATTTGGCTTTGCACTTCCCTTCATGCTACCGCTTTCCAGCCTATTTCCTCTGGAGATACATTTCTCTCTGTCTCACAGAAAGGGGCACAGATAGTATATCCTGAATGCAGTGAAACAAATTAACCAACTTCCAGTCCCACCAGCTGATTTCAGCACTCTACACATTTTCTATACTGCCAAGCATGGCATCAGTTCCCAATTGTCTCGTACGCTGAGCAGACGTCCCTCAGCTCAGCGATTAAGAGAAGCTAAAAGTGTGGGTGAACCACTTGTTGCATGGTTTCTACCTGGAAAACATCTCATGTGCCCTCTAAACATGTGGGGAACCAATATTCTGTAGGCTCCAGCCACACAGAAGAATGCCATGTCCTAACAGAGCGGGAGCTTCCTTTTGGTGCTTAACTAAGGACATTTTTCTCTACCCCAACCCTTCTCTCACACATTTCTACTTCCTGATCCCAAATTCCATCTACTGTAAAGAATGCAACATTTTAGTTGACATTATTTTCCAAATATGACAGTCTCTTCCTAATAAGGGACTGTAGCAATAAGTAAACAAACAAATAATTTTTTTTCAGGTGTTGTTTTCCCAACAGTTCCTTGGGGGGAAGAAATGCCAGTTGAATTTCTGCCTGAAATATAGCTGCCCCCAAAAGTGGCAAATCTACAGAGGCCCTTCTTGAATTCCTGCCTTTGAAAAGGTGGCCAAATAAGCATAGTTTAACCCCAAATCATGACATAAGAAATTAATGTGGGTTTCAGGTAGTTTTGTGAATTTCTTCTTTGTGCAAAATGCTTTCTAACGGGGCAGGCGAGTGAAATCATGCTCATTATTACATCTTGAAGATGTTCACCCATGTGTCAGAATGATAACACTGCATAAGTCGGATCATTATTTTCTAGGGACTTCCTTCCAAACCCATGAACATTAACAGGAGGTTTGGTAATTAACTTCAGCAAGCTGGTGGAGTTCAGCAGTATAAATCGGTGGCAAATTCATGCTGCTCTTTGCTCCCAAGCCTGGTTCTTCAAGGGTAACAGATACTACTTTGCATTGCCTGTTTTCCAAACTAATCTGTCATTGAAGCAACTGGCACAATCAAGGTCTGATGTAAATCCCATGGAATTTGATGGAAACAGTCACAGTTAGGCTATTTCTCAGCCAGCAAGGTCAGAAAAGAAGCTTTATCAACTGTTGTGTATTCCCATGACAACACTTTGTATTGTTAATGACATCATTTGGTGCAAAATAGTAAAAGTTGCTGACAACCCTTGTAGTGAGGGAGCCTTATTAATATTCTGTAGGAAGATCACTTTAATGAGATATATTTTGCACCACTTTGATAAGTTTTAACTGCAAGGTTTTTAATTACATGATTCTTCCCTTTCCTGGGCAGCCAATTTCCAGAATGCAACCAAGTAGCCTTTTTCAGATTATTTCTGTTAAGTTTGTTTGTTCTTCCTCCTTTGTTGTAGGACAGCTCTGATTTGGAGCCTCTGTTTAAGAGGAAAAAAATCACCAATACCTATCTATACTGTTAAGTCTGCTTCTTCTGCAAAACGAAACATTGGCCGTCATTGCTGTTCATCTCACCCAACCACCCCACTATAATCTACATCACTGTTGTACTCAAACCAAGTAAACAAATAAAGTTTTGAACTTTATTCTTATTGTGCTCTTTGGATATTTTTGTTTCATGTATTTAGTTGTGTCTTGTTCACCCTTTCAAAACCTTGATATAAAACAGATTTTGCACTGATGGCAGATGATGTACTTTGGGACAAAGGGTTGCTTTTTATCAAATGTTTACAGGAAGAGAGAGGGCATTTTGGAAGTGGGACAGTCCTTGGTAAAGAGAGGCCCTTCATGGCTACAAGCATTAGGGAAAGTCACTCAGAGGGCACATTTAGGAAAAGAGGAGTTAAATTGCTTTGGAACATGTGGGGCTGAGTCCCAAAGCTGAAAGCCCACCATCCAGATCTCACTGGGCCCCCAGTTTGGCAGTCAAATGGTGTCCATAAATCAATGTGAGGGAATTGGCTTCTTCTGATATGGGATACGTGGAAAATATTATTCTTGTTCTGCTTCTGTGGTAGCTCATTACAGTGGCAGGAGGAACAACTTTTTACAGCCCTGTTATTTGCCAATTGTAGAGACAGCTGAGACTTAGTGACCCTCTTTTGTGTTATCAGTTGATGAGAGGGACATACAGTGGTACCTTGGGTTAAGTACTTAATTCGTTCTGGAGGTCTGTTCTTAACCCGAAACTGTTCTTAACCTGAAGCACCACTTTAGCTAATGGGGCCTCCTGCTGCCGCTGCGCCGCCGCTGCACGATTTCTGTTCTCACCCTGAAGCAAAGTTCTTAACCTGAAGCACTATTTCTGGGTTAGCGGAGTCTGTAACCTGAAGCATATGTAACCTGAAGCGTATGTAACCCAAGGTACCACTGTACTTGCTACTATAACAAGGGGCAATGTTTGCCCACACCCCACAGCTCTGGGGACTTTGGTCTCATAACAACACTGAGGCCGGTTAGGCTTTGGTATAGTAACCAGCCAAAGGTCACCCAGTCAGTGTCATCATCTACTAGGGATTTGAACCTGGGCCTTCCCAGTCCTATTCTGCCATGGCCTCAACTTTGACATTAGAGTCAGAAGAGAATCAGCCTGCCACATGCAGGGCTTGTCCACCATCCACCAAGTTCCAGGTACTGAAGCTGAGCCAAAACCCTTTGAGAACCTTCCACATACCTCTCTTTCCTCTGTGTCTGCCCAATGGCAAGAGGCTGTAGGAGGGAGAAGCTCCAGCTATCATTCCAGAGATTGGTCCTTTAAGAATTCACACTCTTCAGGCAGCGAGTAGAGCCTGGGAGGGACAGAATGGCTGGAGGGAACTCATAAGGCCCCAGTTCACCTTTAGGCTTTGATGAAGCAAGTTGCTCACTAGAAGCATCCAAGGTGCTACAACCACCTGCCTCATGGACATCTGTCAAGGATAAATGAGAACACAGTTCAGCACTCAAGCGACACTACATGTAACATTCTTCATGTTGAAGGGCAATAAAGAGTCAAATGCTTTAAAACTGCCTGCCTCCTTGCGTGTATGACTTGGGGTGGGGTGGGGGTTGGCCTGTTTTCTACCCCTCCAGATCCTCATTTCTTTTTGAAATCCTTTCCATTCCCTTCTACTCTTGTTTTTCACTCCTTCCCCAACTGGTGTGTTGCATTTAAAATCAATACCATTATCCAGTAAAAATACTGCTACTGATGAAGAATAGTGTTCCATTTTTTAAAAAAATTCAAGCTACTATATATACTTCTGGGATCCAAGTTTAATTACACAGCAGCATTATACTGCTTGCCTATGCCTACTCCACAAGATTGCCTTCCCAGAGCTCACACTGCTGTGGCTTGCAAGGATTAAGTGTGTCAAGTGAGTGTGGATGACCCACTTTCTGCAGAATAGCCAGCATCATCTTTAGTGTGTGATTGGACGTTTCCTGTGCATGTTCTCAGGTTGCAACAGGCAGAAAACCTTTTCTACTGCCACAGGTCTCCCATAATAGCTAGAGAATATGAAACCTGCAATTTGTAGATAGGTAGCTTCATTGGAAACCTAACAGTAGAGCAAGGGATGTGAATGAGCAAGTCATAATTCAAGTCACAGTAGAGGTGTTAACGCAGCGGCCGTCAAACCTTTCAGATCAGTAGTCGTATTTAGAATTTTGAGAAGGTGCAGTGAATCACAAAATGGCTGCCATGGAAAGGAGCATGGGAAAGCATGAACACAACATGGCTAGCATGGGGACAGCATAATGCAAAATTAAAGAGGATACAGCCCTTGTTGCTTACTCAACCCCACCTCAGACAACCTTGGGCTTACCATGGAAGTCAACTATGTCCTGCTGTTCCCTGATTGTGGAGATTACACAATATTGATCACACACACACACACACACACACTGTTGCTATAGGAGCATTTCCCACTTCCAGGAAAAATATACAAGGTGCCACACCATATTCTCTTCATGCACACACTCACTGCACATCTCCATTGCCCAAGTGCGTATCTCCCTGTTACAGACCACATTCATTCACCTCTTTTCTCTCTCACACACCTTTCTCTTGATACAGGAATTGGGGGTTTTTAAGGGGAGGCACAGCAGGCAAATTTCTCACAAAAATTGAGAACAATTGTGTCTGTACATCTGGCCTCATATCTCTGGTTCTTAAAATGCTAGAAATTGTTTGAAAAAGAGTGCTTGGGTATCAGAGGATCAAGATTCATGCTCAGGGCATGAAAGAATGCTTTGGTGGGTGCCAGGTTGATAAGCCTTGCATTAATGTATTTTTTAAAACTCCCTTGCAGCAGCAATTGCTGGTGCAGTCTGTTCCGGAAGAATAAAACAAGGGTTGTTGATGCTGCAGAGGTAGAAGTTGCAGAACAAAGAGGAGTGAGACAGGCATAATATGGATAAAATTTACAGTGCTCTGAATCCTTGTTCCATTCTGGAAATAATGCAAAGCCGTTAAACAAAACAGTAATGTTAACAAGTGTTTCTTAAAGCTAAAGTCACACGTGTGCCTGAAATTCATACTACACAGACCAAATATTCATTTCTCTCCCTTGCTCCGCACCATACATTATAGTTAAGTTGGAGGCTCCAAAGCATTCCAAGAAATAGGGTTGCCATATTTTTAAAAGCAGGACACATTTGCAGACTTCTACTTTTAGCTATGGATCACTATGACAGCTCTACCCATGAAAAAAGAGGATGTGTCCTGGAAAAAGAGGACATATGGCAACCCTAATATGTCAATTCTTTGAATGTCAAGCAAGTGCCTTTTGAGCCTTTTGGCTCTGATGATTAAACTATGCCTTTCCCAACCTGGAGGAAGTAGGACCAGGATGAATGCTGTGCTCTAAGCAACAGACATGGATGTCTGGAAGCGGGCAGAGCTGCGCTCACCACCCTACTTTAAAAGTGCGTCGCCACAGAAAAAGCTGCTCATCTGGCCTTTTCTTTGTAAGCATCAGCAAACAACAGCAACTGCATATGCAGCCTGAGGGTTTGTGGGCTCAAAAGGCACATCTCACAGGTACTTAGGATGTGCATACCCAGGAAAAAAGAACAATAATGGTGCTTTGAGCCTGTGTGTCTGTTGTTGAAGGGCTGGCTGCAGACTGGAACCACAGAGGTGTTGGCAACACAAACAGCAGCACTAATTAAAGAGAAAGGAACGAAGCCTTGATGAATCCCTTGCAGATCATAATGGCAAACTCAGCCAATATGCTCAGAGGGAATTTGTATCTGAATCTAGGACAAGTGTGGGCAGGAAGTAGATCTATTTATTGGTAGACTGATGGCCGATTTTCAGTAGACCAGCAAGAGTTTCTGACTCTTGCTGCCATAAAAACAGCAGCGAAAAGTTTCTCCTTAAATTCAGCTGTTAGAATCTCTGTTCTGTGCTAACTCACATGTAGGTTTATACATACAGTTCGTTCCCGGTAATAACTCAAGGGATGTTGTTTGCAATTGTCTTAGCTCTGTAACTGGCTTAGCTCTGCACACACAGCCAGTTACTGGACTGGGATTTGGGGGTTGAGAGAAAGAGTAGATCCCACATGCCTTAAGTTTGTCCATGTCTGAGCTAGGATCCCTATTTTTAAGTGAAATATTTAGTTTCTGTTCTTCAACTCATGTTTAGACGTATGATTCATTCTCCCAGCCCAGACAGCAGTGGGCAACCTGTGACCCATGGACCTAATTAAGCCCACTAGCTTCCCCATTTTGTCTGTGACGCTATTTTGTCCAAGTCAAGCCCACCTGCCCCATCTGTTTTCATCTGAGAGGCAGCTAAAGATGCAGCTGGGCCAACAGTGGGCTTTGCAGGCACCATCTATCAGGTGACTAGCAGTGCCTGCAAAGCACATACAGTCACCAGGATGTTTGACAGGCATTAGACTTTAGCATTGGTACTAATCAGCTGGTTGTTGGAACTTGCAAAGTGCTGTGCCTTCACTCACCAGGTTTGATTTCAAACCACATGGGCAAATGAAAACAGGTCACCTGATGCCATTGTGGCTTAAGGTGGCATGCGCCACCATGCCAGACTAGCAGTGTCACAACTCACATCTAAAACATGTCAGTGATCTGCAAAACTTAACAACTGAATTTCAGAATAAATGTCAAATTTGAAAGTTTCAGCCCCCAAGTTGCTTCATATTTGAGAAGCCTTAAATAGGAAACTTGATAATTCTCCTATTCATTATGAACAACATTTGCCACCATGTGAAGAAGCAGTTTGTTCATTTGCTATTAACCCTCACAATGGGGCTTCAAATCCTTCTCTCTTGGCATTCTTTAATATCTGAACTTACTAGCAGACTTTTAATCCCATTTAAACAAAAAACAAAACAAAAAACCCTTCAAACTCTAAAAGCCTCATTTTATTTCCTGTTTCCCTGATACTAAAATAATTCTGAGTTTCTGACCCCTGAGTAATGATGAAGGAATGTGCTACGTTCCCCAACACAGCAAGGCAGCTGGTAAAGTGAATCTTCACAGCATGTTAAAAATACAGATAACGGTGCCAAAAACTAGATCTGATTGAAACACAGTCAAATGTCAGCACTAATTTGCTGTTAAATATATATGGCTC